TTGTGGTTCGACTGGCCAGACCGGAATTGTATCTCTCGTGAGATGGATGAGAGACTCGTTGAGCCAAGCATTTCAATCTGTATGGCTTTCCTTAGCTTCCGTCAGTCATTACCCCTGGCTACCCTTTGGTTTCTGGCCAGTAAATCCTGCGAGTACCCAGCCCAGTACCTCATTAAAATTCTAGAGTAGGTGAAGAAAAAGAAAGGGTATCCTATGCTTTAGATCGGTCTTAATCGAGTCAAAGCCTGTGAGTGGCGCTCACCTGCAGGAAGTCAAGTGAAAAGTCACTCATGGGGCAGGGAACGTAGAGCTTCTTTGGCGCCTAGAGCAAGGCACTTAATTGATCTGATTGGTATTGACGAATCAACCAGGTCGTTATGCTCCCAGTTACCAAAACTTTGCTGGTGCTAGGTATAGTACGCTTGAATACCTTTCTCACGTGTTGGCTGATTGGGGCGCTAACCTGACTGGTCGACCTTGAGCTGTGCTGGTTGGGCATGAAACTATTCGCATCAGCTCAGTCACAATTACAATGGATGGAATACGAGCAGATATTCAATGATTGCTAACAATACCTGAATCTGATCATCGGGGATACAAAACCTCTGAAACCCAATCACACAATGCCTTCAACATGTAGAAAGTAATAAATAGAGTACCTAGTACCAAATCAAATTCGTGATTATCTTCCCACACCGCCAGGGATGGATGCTGGGCTTTAAGATTATTTGTGCTGGGACAGTCGCATGGTGAAGCTTTCCCCGTTCCAGTACGCTCCTCCGAGCAAACACCAATGTACCGGCCCGCATTGCCGTTTTGGTAACGCGGCTCTAGAAGCTTGTTGTAACGTACTTGCTAAAGAGTCGAATAGCGTAGGTAGTTCGATGTATTGGAATAAAATTCAAGAGCTAATACGCATTTTGAATTAGTCTATTGGAAATTACTGTAATCTTTGCTATTTGAGATATCTAGTGATTGATTAGCTATAAAAGTGACTTTTATAGCTGAGCACAGCGGATATGTATCCGTTCCTTTGGGAAGGTGACAAAAGGGAGGTCACCAGGCAATAGGCCACTCATTCCCAAGCCATCTTTCAATTTTAAACACCATAACCACCCCGCTTTCTCGTTTGTGGTTTGTGGTAAGATGCGGCTAAAAACCTTGATAGTTTTAAAATGCCCCAGATAATACATGATCCTATATGTAGAGTGCGGTATAATACACACCGGCTTCGTTGGAGGGATAGCAAGCATGGGTATGGGGACGTCAATCACACTACCTATCCTGCGGTGTGCCGTTATTTTAGACCATGTTACGTGGGTGTATCGACTGCCTGTCTCTCCGCATGTAGCTCTGGTAGAAACGGGGGCGAATCCAATGTGCTGTGATTATTGGACGGTTTCATGCGTGTGAGTATCCTGGGTAGATGTGAGCGATATTTTCAGAGAGTTTCCACACCCATTCTCTGGGTCCAAAGCAGAGCTGGGTATCCAACCATGTGGTATAAAAGCTTGACCCCCCAAGCAAAATAGCAGGACGTTTTTGCTCGGCCAGAGAGGCAACATTCACCATGGTTTCTGCAAAGGTGAACAACGTTTACGCCATTTGCGCCTTCGCGGCCATTGGTGGTGGACTTTTCGGTTTCGATATCAGTAGTATGTCCGGTGTGCTCGGAACAAATGCATACAAAAACTACTTTGACAATCCTCAGGATACTAGGGTACGTTATCAATATTCCACGAGGAAAAGGTCGAACATGATATTAATATCAATCATAGCAAGGTGGAATTACCTGTGCTATGCCAGCTGGGTCTCTAGTTGGGGCTCTTGCATCGGGTTTCCTAGGTGACAAAGTTGGCCGCAAATGGGCCATCCAGATTGGCGGTATCATCTGGATCATTGGATCAATGTAGGTGATATCGTGGAATTATCTTTGGGAAGGATATTAACGATCGTTTAGTATCCAGGCTGCTTCTCAGAATATTGGCATGCTCGTCGTCGGGCGTGTCATCGCTGGTCTTTGCGTCGGTATCACTTCTTCTCTTGTCCCGGTCTATCAAGCCGAAATCGCTCCCAAGGAGATTCGTGGTCGCATGGTTTCTCTCCAGCAATGGGCTATCACATGGGTGGGTTGATGCTATTGATAACTTATCTTTGGCCGGCATTCTAACAATGATTTAGGGTATCTTAATTCAATATTTTATCCAGTACGGTGCTTCCTTCTATGGTGGCGGCCCCGAGGACCCTCATCAACCTAGCGCGGCTTTCCGTATCCCATGGGGTATCCAGGCTATCCCAGGAGCGCTCCTTGTTGCCGGCCTATTCTTCTTCCCAGAATCTCCGCGTTGGTTGGCCGACAAGGATAGGTGGGAGGATTCACTTCGCGTTCTCGCCGACGTTCACGGAGGTGGTGATCTTAACCATCCAAAGGTGCTCGCTGAATACCAGGAGATTGAAGAAGTCATCCGCTTCGAGCGCGAAGAAGCAATCTCATCATATGCGGAGCTCACCAAGCCCCGTATTCTAAAGCGTGTTGTTCTCGGTATGTCGATTCAGATGTGGTCCCAGCTTTGCGGAATGAACATCATGATGTACTACATCGTATACGTTATGGAGGGAGCCGGTATCAAAGACCCCCTCCTCACGTCATCAATTCAGTACATCATCAACGTCGTCATGACCATTCCTGCAATCATGTGGATGGACCGCTGGGGTCGTCGTCCCACACTTCTCCTTGGATCTTTCGGTATGATGACCTGGTTGTTCATCTCTGGCTCAATCCAGGGTGCCTTCGGGGAGCCCGAGAATGACCCTTCAAAGGCCGTTACCTGGAAAATGGTTGATAAAGAAACTCAGTCTCGTGCTGTTGTTGCATGCTCTTATCTCTTCGTTGCGACATTCGCAATTACGTGGGGTCCTGTCTCATGGACAATGCCTGCAGAAATCTTCCCGAATAAGGTCCGTTCAAAGGCTGTATCTTTGTCAACTGCGTCAAATTGGGCATGGAACTGTGGTCTTGCCTTTGCTGTCCCTCCACTACTTAGGGCTATTAACTGGAAGATGTACATGATCTTTGGCGCCTTCAATGGGTGTGCACTTGTACACATGTTCCTTAGCGCACCAGAGACTAAGGGTAAGACATTGGAAGAGATGGATGATGTCTTTGATGTAAGTTGTAACACTCTTGGCCTTGATAAGCAGAAACTAATGTATTTCGTAGTCCGGTATTCCAGTTTGGCGTCAACAACCCAAAAAAGGCTCTCGACTCGATGCTATCCAGAAGGATATTGAGCAAGGAAACCTTAAGGTCAACATCGGTCACAAAACCGAGGAGGTCACACCTGAGAAGGAGACTTAATTTGGAGGATTTGTGCATGCCATCGTTGCTCCCATTTGTCTGCAGGCCTGTTTCTTTTTGTAATTACCGCGGTGAACTGTAATGAACGGAAATGAATATGAGATATATCACCCTGATCGATCAGCTTAACGATAAACATATATTCACTCAAAATTAAAATCTTGAGTTATAAAGAGAGATAACTGCGCTTCTTGGACCTTGATTGATGATATATATATGGCGCCAAGAAATTCCTAGATTTTATCCGCAAAAATTACAGCATGATAGTGATACTGGTTAAGTAATAAGTAGATTCACAAAGGAAAATATATCCGAGCGCAACTTTAAAGGTGATGAGGTCCAGATGTTGACACTATCTTGAAACGGAAATTTTAGCGGTATTCTTAAGGACAAATTAGCCTCCCAATCAAGCTTTTCAATACCTATACTTAATTATGAGTACTGCACATGTATATAATACGTAGAGTACACTACGCATACCTGGGCACGCGCTGTGTTCAGCGCGCTGTACTGAGGAACTATTACCTAGCGTTCTGATAAGTTATTATGTACATACATATACCTAACAAGGCTAGTGCCGATACACAGCGTCTTACTAATATCATATTAAATCACTCGATTTGCAATCTCTAAATTTCCCCTTGTTGTTGTTGTTGGTAATTCATTTATTTTATGTAAATTTCCCCTCAATGCCGTTGGATCATATGAGCTTGAGCTGTTTGCGGGGATTTTATTGATTGAACAGGCGGGTGTTAAAATCAGGCAATTCCCAGGCAGCAGGAATTAAACAAAAAAAGAAAAGAAAAAGGTACGACAGCATAAACCTTAACAGAACCAGATAGTACAATACCATGCATCTCGGAAAGATTCATCTCTTTCATTTGCTACAATATGAACATAAGTTAGTGGGTCACACTTATTACGTCCTACCAAATGTCACACAAATTCATTTAGTATGTTGCCGAATCATATGTCCATCCTACGTGTCTTCCATTATTCTCAACCTGCTATCGAGGATTCCCTTGAATCAATGATCTCATTCACGTATCATGACCCCCCGTACAGATAGGAGGTGTTGATATTAGTTGTCTGTGTGCTAGACACTCGCCTAAAGTTTCCTTGAGTCGTTGCCTGAATCGTCACCCAGAAAGCTTGGTTCGTTTCTCTTACTCTATTTTACAGAATAAGCTCATTTTTTTCTTACGGGGACTAGACTGTGATGTGGTTGGCTGTGGGTAACCAATATGATAGGCCGCCATCTTGGTATGTAGCTTAGACAAAGCCCCTCTTGACAGGTCACCTGCACCTGGATATCATGCTTAGAGAACTGTACGTACTCATTTATTCAATAACAAGTACAGACCCTGAACCTCTCATTCACCATTGATTGAATAAGAACTCATACTCGAAGACACCTATCTGTTTCAGGTACCGTTATTTCTGGGAATAAGCCCATGGGCTTAAAGCAAAGTGGTGGGAGGAAAGTCAAGGAAAACTGGTGGTGTATGCATATTCCCGTGACTTAAGCCAATCAGCAAGCATTTTTCTACCGCTACTTTGCTTTAAGCCCATGGGCTTATTTCCCAGAAATAACGGTACACATTAAAACCCGAGAATATACCAGATATACCCCAATCTATTATCAGAACTTCTGTCCACCAAATCTCGGCAGCCCCAACGCCTCCCTTCTACTTTTCGACCCCGGTACCAAAGTCGGCTTCTCCCCCAAGCTAACGACTCTATCCCCCGCTCTAATCCCACCCAACTCAAGATAATCGTCAGTAGCAGTGTGAAAAACACTTCTATTATCCCAGATTGCTACGTCGGCAGCGCCATCTTGATAATGGCCCCATTTGAATCTTGAAACCTCAGTAATTTGGTCGCAAGAAGGGGCAGTAGAATAAATTATAAACTCACCGAACCTGCAGATCATGATTCTCACTGATATGTCCGAAAATATAATCCAATACGTTGTCCGACTCGTCTTTAGTAAGTTCATTGATCCTTTTAGTGAAGCCCTTATTGACAAATAAACCTGACATCCGTTAGTGCTCCTATCGCCCTACACTCTTGATTTAAAAGATACACACCTTTCCACCCAGTAACAGGATTAGTCCTTATAACCGGGTGCACAGCTGTTAGGTCTGTCCCCTGGTTCTCTGGAGCACCACGGCTCTCGCGGATCTTATATCCGGTACGAGCTGCTGCTTCGTTGAATCGAGTGGCGTTGTGAGTTGCGGTCAGGCCCTCGAGGAATCGTTGATAGGCAGGGGAGAGACGATCATAGGCTTCATATGCGGAAGCCCAAAGTGTGCTAAGGGGAAAATTCAGTAATTGGCCACGTTTGAAGAAGTGTCGAAACTCACTCTCCGCCCGTTTCAGGCAGTGTGTGGACCTTCAAAATTGCATCTACCCATCCATTAACTTCCGTTAATCTGCAGTACTAAAATTGAAACCGGGGACTTACAATCACTAGGGATCTTCTCAAAAGTGATATCCGCATGCTACACAATGCCACTCATCAGCAATTTTCGCAAGCCAATGTTAATGGAAATACATACCCATCCATTACTCGCTCTCGCACTCCTTTCCTCGCTTTCTCCACTCGCAACTACCTTCTTACCCTCAGAGCTAATAACCGACACTCTGTCGCCCAACTCCGAGAATTCTTTGGTAAGCGGGTGTACATGCAGCCCACTTGTATCTGGCTTCCCACTCAACTCGCCAAGGCGCACTGCAAGCTCTGTTTGCTGCTCAATTGTGATCACTTGCGAGCGGAAGAACACAACGCCGCGTTGGGATATCAAGATCGCGAGATCACGGATGAAAGCATCGGAGGCAAGTAAGGATGTCAGTTGTACTGAGGAGGGAAACTCGGTCCCGATTACTGGTGTGGACGATATGTGCGGGAAGGAGTCAAGAGAGTTTGTAGAGAGTGGGGGCGTAAGGTTCTTGTTCTGGAGATGTGGGGTGAGGTGAAGGGTAGAGGGCGGAAGAGTGGTAGTAGTGGTAGTCGCTGACATTTTATAGCTTTACTTGGAAGATCGCAGTGAATTGGGGTTGCCATATAGCTTTGGTAAAAAGGTCCTTTATATATGATGGAAATATATAGGTAGCGGTCTTGTAGTGAGTCTTCGAGTGATATTGAGCGCTTCTTGCGTGATTGGACCAGGAATCAAGCAAGCAAGTATCGATATCGGAGTTCGGTAGTGTCTATTAATTGCATGTGCAGGTGGTGTCAATGGCATATCTGCAAGGGACTGCTGTCTACGTCGAACATATTGGTTCTGGTTGAATTTTGACCATGAGATGCTCCCGGCCAATCGGGGAGGCTTAAAACTGAGAAAACCACGTTTATTCCAACCCAAACGCTTAAACAGTTACTATTTTTCTGTGAACAATTGATGTTCATGAAGTGTTTAGTTTGAGATTACTGACGCAATCTAATAAATCGATCACGAAATCTATAAACCTATGATGTGATTATATCCCGGTCCTTAATATACTCGTCTACAGATAAGAACGACCGAGGACCCTGGGTGTATTGATCTTCAATCAGCGTGCTCGGTACTAGGAAGCATGAATGGATACCTTGCTGCTTAGGTAACATTTTTAGGTTACTACATGTAGTCTATAATTGCTCACAGGTGAAGTCAGCAACACTTCAGTTCTTTCATACTACAACGACTCATAATCTACGGCGCTTATATTGTAAGTAGAGGAACTTTTCAACGGATCAGGTTAACCCGTGATAAGCTCAGGTTCTTCAATCATGGAACATCACTCGTTTATCATCAGAGAATCGAGAGATATAGTGTAGTTCAACCCACGATATACGGTCCCGGCCTTTTACACAAAAAAAAAATCCATTATCATGACGACATGAAGATTATCTAATCGAAAGCGTCCGACTGGAATCCATAGCCACCTTAACTAAACTTTTAGTGGATAACTATGAGAGCACATGGCCCGAGTCGGGAAGAGATTGTCAAAAATCGATTTATCGCCCAGACACAAAATCGAAAATTGATAAAGACCTCAAATGGAATAATGCCTCATGACAAAAAGAAACACCATGGTCGGTCAAGCTGAAGGATCAGAACCATTCTGTATGTTGTCACACCTATACTCAGAAAACGAAATATACCGATGGCGACAACCCCAGCTGCAGCCGTACATGGATACTCGTTTTTAGGACCCATGAATGTATTCCGGAGCCTAGATTGCACCGGGGAACTCCACAGTAACTAATCTTGGGACATTCCGCCCCTTCCTATGTATATAAAAGGCTGGTGAGCACTCAATGATCACCCGTGTTACACATGTCCCTTTCATTTGAACTTCTTTTGCCATGCAGAAAGCCGAGTAGTATCATCTTCGGCTGGTAGGAATCTTATCGTGTTAAGGCAACCGACCTTGTGAATTATCCAGATCGACTTAATTAAGGCCCTCTCAATATAGAACACAACGGTTCGTAGCCACCAACACATTGGTGGAACGTACTTTCCTTTTCTATGACAATATTTTGCCAATTTTCAAAGACCTCCTCACTCTATCCTCATAATAAGTGCATGCGTGTATTAAGGTTAATCATGGATCATCACTCGTCTCCATCAAGAACAGGGTTTGTTTCAACCACCAAGCGATATACTTATGCGGGCCGGTTTTCTTTATACAAATCTTTCTAACTATACGTAATTTTAGTTGCTTTTCCTCATTTCTCAAAGGCTACCACAAGAAGCCGTGGGAACCCCATGTGGTAGGGTTGTAGATATCTCACCTTTTTCCCTACCTATTTATTTGCTCTTTCATTAGTTACAAGACATCTATGTATGTACTACATGTATATAGGTATTGAAACAAAGGGCTGTGACCCAATATGCACCTCAGAGCCCAAAATCCAACACGTTAGTAATTTCATAAATTCGATACAGGAATGGGTATAAAAAACCAAGCAAACCAACTCCATTTCCCAAAACATGTAAATAATATCATCTTCAAGCCAACTGCGCTCTCACTTCTCCCCCGCATACCACGCCCCCGCAACCGGCTTCCCAACCTCCGCCCCACTGAACGCACAATGCCCCACTCCGCCATTAATCTCAGTGACACCCCACATCACCGGCATCTCCGCCACAGCCCATTCCTGCGTATGACACGCCGCACTGATTGCCGCACTGCAACTCCCCGCTAGCGGCATATGTCCCGAATACCGCCGCAACCCCATCGCCGACACTGTCAGCAGCATTAGAAGCCCCAGGATCACTGCGAAGAGAATCGCAATCGGAGAGTATCCGGTAGTTGTTATCGAGTAATTTGTCAACGTCCCACCTTTGAACTCGAGGATCCGCGCAAGGAAGATGCTCTGCGAGATGAACCAGTGCATCACAAGAGACCCAATCATGAGTGGGATGCTATACCGGTAGGGCAGATGCAGGAAGTAGGTGCTCCTCTGCTCCCCCTTGGGGGTAGTTGTGCGGAGTGGGCGCCGGTCTGTAGCGAAACGCTCCCACTCAGAGGCTAGGAGCATGCAGGTGAAGAGTGAGTTGTAGAGGAGATACAGGAATGAGAAGATAACCTGGGGCAAGTTGGAAAGAAGAACAGCTGAGACGAGAGCACGGTAGCTGGTGCTAGAGGCATTGGTGGGAGTTGCGGCTAGAGCGAGGGTGTTGACAGCGCCAAAACCCAGTTTCCACATGGAGGCGGGAGTACGGGAGACACCATACTCGTTCCAGTTGGCGATACCGATAAAGAGGAAGCCGAGTACGGTGACGATACCAACTAAGGCACTGGGAATAATATTAGAGGTTGTGAAGATTAGATATTGAGAACCCTTAGAAAAACTTACAGTCCTAAACATAGAACCCACTGCCAAATACTGGCAGCCCGAAACCAAGCCTTCCTTTGAGGCGTCCAAATACGTGCCTGCATCGGCCTACTCAAACCTTGAGCCATTACTGGTCCCCAAACACCATCTTTGATATCCTTTTTACTTGCTGTACACATGCCAGATGTCGTTGAATCTTTCTTATTCAAAAACGATTCTATAGCATCCCCAATTGTAACCAATGTATCATCCAAATTCCTCGAGAGAAACACTGCCAACAGCATGCAGATGCATTTGATAGCATTACACACAATAACTATAGTCATTATCTGGAGACTATAACCCAGGCTACAGTTTTCTTCCATGTATTCACTCAGACAATACTGAACATTACCCCCATTCATTTTCCAGTTATCGATTCGAGCGATCGCGTCGTCAATATTGCAGCTGAGTGTTGTAACGCCGGTGCTGTCACATAGCCAATCGAAGGGCTGGCGTCCGGTATTTGTGCCAGCTTCCTGAAAGCCATGACTGCCGGTGAATTTTGCACCTGCACTTCCGTCGGTCACGATGATGACGTCTCGGCGATCCGAGATTATTTGTTTCCCGTAGGCTTTCATGCAGACTAGTTTGTCGGTGTGGTTAAAAGTGCGGGGGTCGGTGAAATAATAGAGATCGCTGTTTGTAGTGTTTGAGAGATATTTGTCCAGGGCACCCTCGGAGACGGTCGTGGTGCTGTAGGAATTCGTTTCCAGCGTTGTAAAGACGGCAGAATTGTAACTATTGTTTAGGGATATCATGTTAGCACCATTCCGGCAAGCACCGGGAATCGCCGAACGAAACAAGATATCCACTCACAGGAAATGCAATGGCACAGAACTAAACATCAGAAATAACCAGAGCAGAAATCTAGTCCAGCTAATCTTTCCCAAGTTCCTTAAGCTTGAAACCCCAATATCTAACCACCTCCGTCTCGCGTGAGCTCTATCCACCTCCTTCCTCGTGGGTGCGCTCAAGGTCTGCGACGTATAATTACTTGCACTCAGCAACGCCGTACTCAAGGCGTTGATAGCCAAATGGATCCACAAACTCGACCTCTTAATTTTCGCACATCCACCTTGCTGCAATACTCCCAAACCGCCCACATTTCTATACTTATTATTCGCCCACAACGTCACCGAGAGGTTAATGAGAAACACCACGAATGTTGCGATTGCGGCATATGTCACCCCACTTCTCCAGCCCCCGGAAAAGAAACCATGAGACTTGGCCTCTGGTTCTGGGGGTGGTGTAGGTGGCGGTGGAGGAATCGAATTGCGGTGATGGGGCGGCGGCGGGTTGTAGTAGCCTGGTGGGCTGCGCGATGTTAGTATACGATGTTACTGACCAATTTCTGGATTCTGCTCACCCTAAATGCGGATCATATTTTTCGCCTTGCCCCGGTGGTAGTTGCTGTAATGGTATGGGCTGATACGCTATATTCTGAGAGTTTGATAATCCCAAGCCCCATAGAGGGGGGGGCCTATGCTGCTCGCTGGAGTATTGCATAGTATGCATTGTGGAGGTTAGTTTTTCGCCAGATGGAATGGAAAATATCCAGAGGAATCCTGTTCCTTAAGAAGGGCTGTGTCTCTACTCGGTTTAATATCCGAGAAGGCTCAGCGGTTGCGGTGGGGCACAGCTACATACATGGAATTTGTGGCTGGGTGTCATTCGTGATGCTGTCCATTGTAGTACAAGCGGTTTGTCGGCATCCGAAAGGTGGTACAGGTGTGCCGATTAGGTTGCGGACCATGGGACTATGTGTCATGACCAGTTATGAATTGTATTTTCCTCAATATTTCCATCTCCGTTCTGAATTCCCCATAATTCGGCCATATTCCTAATACAGAGGTCAACTTTCATACGGCAGAATTATGGCAGAATTATGAACCTCGGAACCAGATTCATGCTACTCGTGCCACATCCGACAATTTGGTGAGCACGCTGGTGAAGTACTAGTACATACTTTTTTTTTTATATGTAGGTACTTGTACATGTATGTACCTCTGGTCGTCTCTGTGACATGAGGTGTAGATTCGAGATCTCGAGAAAGACGTTTTTTACTCCTTGCCAAGGACCCTGAACTAGTGTAGTGCTAGTGATCTTAACAGCCGAGATTCTGGTTGACACGCAACCCCAACTGAAGAACAGCATATTTTTATCTGAGATCCTATTAGTATTGGTACTTTAATGAAATCGAGTGATAAGGGAAAACCCAGAGCTACGGTAGCCGGAAGAAGAATGAAGCGAATTTTATACATTACCATATTAGTCCGCATGGCCTCCAACGTCAACCCGACTACACTAGCCAGACTCCAAGACCGCAAGGAAGCTCGACGATACTATAGTGCTCACAAAGCCTTTTTGGGGGCTCATTGAACCAGAAGGGTAAGAACATCTATTTAGAAGAAGAGCTCTGAAAATAGGAGTATCATAGACAAAAGTGTCAGTATTAGAAGGTAGTCCGTATGGTTTGGGGGTACATACGTACATACTGTATTAACATGGTATTGTTGAACATCATCGGTAATATTAGCGGCTATACCAATTCATCCTTAGTATGCCGGCTGTTGATGTTGATTCTCCTAAAGATATGATAGCGACGCCGAGCCTTTAGAAAGAAACACGAGGGAACTGTATTTCGTCCGAACCATCACTCAGAGTATGTAGTCTATGGATCGACTCAAAGAAGCTTTTGCCCCATCATATTTATCAGTCCCCGAGTGGACCATAAGTCAATACATAATAGTAATATTTGACGATCACAGGTCCTCAAATACCTGTCTTGTCCAGATTTCCCACTCTTTCTAGAATCAAGATTACCATCATCGAATGCCACGGGCAGATAAGCAGTCGCGTGCTAAAACACTCGCAGCCTTAACGCTGAAATCCAATCATCATCATGTAGCGACGGGTCCGGGTGTATGACTACAATACCTATCTAACCAAACCCGTTATCGCCCAGACATGCATCATACACTATCGTTTTTGCTTTTCTTATTTTGTTATCTAAATCACAAACGACTTGTTTGTGTCCTATGATGAGGCTGCTGAATGTGATCCGGTATAAAACCTTGGTCAGAACCTGATGAAGAGAATCCCGAATATTAGATAGATATATATCTCTATTCAGTATCCCAGACCCGGTGCAAATCCTTCCCTCGGCGCCACGGAATTAAGCGAATGAAACCCTGCTGCTGATTAAACCCCCAAAACCTCCCCCGATCTTGATGTGTTAAGACAACCAGGTTTTCTTCAGTGGGGAGTTGAACTCACGATTGTCTCAGCCCAGTTTATGCCAACTATGATTCCGTCCGTCTATAGTCTACATACTTTCCTTATGACAAATGCTCCGGGAATAAGATTGTAAGATGCAATCTACAACTGAAACCAATCGTATAAAAGTGCATATAATCTCGCGTGTTACGGGAAAAAGAATGCACAACAGCCCGCGGGGATTATCTTGATATCCCTGAATACGCACCAGTAGCGGCGGGCAGTGTGTCATCAGAGGTTATTCCGAGTGCGTTTTCATGAATCTCGGTCGTTAGACATTTATCAAGGTAGGAAAGGACTGAGTAATCTGAGTAAAGCGAAGATCAGTAATCGAGATCAACCATATCTCACCTGTTCTCGAGCAATTGATTGTCCCGATTGTTAAGAATCGGTGCTCTCGCATACCGAGTGACACCCCGTGAAACACCCATCCAATCCCACCCACCGGATTGCATCAGTCCGCATGTGCAGATCGGGGAAACGGCAAGTCCCGCGGCTCAAACAGCTTTTCCCCGCAAGATGTGCCCCGCTCTATATTATATCTATTCTCCCAAATCCCATTTCTTTTTCTCTATCATCGCTTGATAATTTTTCTTCTTATTATTCTTAAGTGTTAATTTTTGGACAGTCATGGCGACTCAAACCCTCTTGGATTATCTTCGCACAAGATCCTTTGTAGATTGCGACACTCTCGATATATCGATAGGGAAAGACCTTGGCCCATTCGTAGACTGCACGTCTAACCAGGTAAACTAATTTCACAGCTCCCATTTAATTCCACCGCTCAATGGCAAGAGCTAAGGGAAACCATAGGCAATCTCATATTTTGAGATTCAGAAGCCTGAAAATGCCCACATAATTACCGAATCCGCCCAACTCGCTTCAACCCTCATCAAGCAATCTCCCTACGTGGGTGCTCTCACCGCCCCCGAACTGACCGCCGAAATCATCGGTACCAAGCTCTCTCTCCGGTACCTCGCCTACACTACCTCCCGCGTTCATATTCAGGCAAACCCGAAGTACGCCTACTCAACCACTGACACCATTGCAAACGCCCGTCGGTATATAGCGCTGGTGCAGCATCTTGCCCCGGGAACTCCTCAGGATCGGATCTGCATTAAGATTCCAACTACATATGCCGGATTGAAAGCATGTGAGGTGCTGGAAAAGGAAGGAATTAGGACTTTGGCGACAACCTTGTTCACCATGGTACAGGCGGCTGCTTCGGGTGCAGTGGGATGCTCCTATATAGCGCCATATGTGAATGCATTAAAAGTGCATTTCACGCCCGGATTCGAAGACCATACAAAGGCCAAGGGATTGAAGCTGTGTGTAGTCTCACAGAAGTTTTTCCAACAACAGGGATATTCGACACAGGTCTTACCTGCTAGGTCTTTCCTCCTTTAATTAAGGGCAGTGTTAGTCGTGTGCTGATAAATGATGGCTAGTTTGACATCTGTCTCGGAAATATTGCAGTTGGCTGGAGCACATCATATCACGGTACCGCCGACGCTTCTGAAGGCCCTGGCAGCCGAACCGTATAATGCAGCGAGCTTTATAAACACTAGTTTATATGATGTTTTGACCGATGTATCAGTACCCGATGTAAAGGATTATGCGAATGCGCTAGACGACGAGGAGAAGTTTACCAGATTAGTTGAGGCCGATGATGATGGAAAATTGAAGCAGGTTTGTGAATCGATTGACTTTAGAATCAATAGGGTGTTTTATGTTAATTACCTGGTTGTGCAGGCAATTGATATCTTTTCGCAGATGCAGCAAGGATTGCTTGAGTTGTCCGAAGCAGCATTGAAGGATGTAGCCGCCTAGTTCGATACCGATTTGTGGAGTTGGCGTTTTCGGGAATGCTCGTCGTCGTTGAAATTTTGATTATTTATTTTACCTGAAAGTAGTATTCATATTAAGGACGGTAAATACTGTCCTCATTTCGTCTACTTTTTTCTGGTGGTGTATTGGATCTATTAGACCATTTATAGATATACCAGTATTGCTGTACATGTGCTTCCTATCTTTCGTACATCAGAAAATTTTGTTCTGTTCAATGAAAGTGAAGCTCTTCCCTTCTAGATAGCCATTGTCGTTTGGCACTTTAATGTGATTTAAATATTGCATTTAACCATGACATTTTCTAGCGCACCACTCAGCTAAAGGCCATCTTAATTTAAGTAATGTTGTAGTTCGCGTTCATAGATATCCCAATCACAGAAGCGTAGAGCCGAATATGAAGTTGATTCGAATCCGGTAGACTCCGGATAGAGTGGGTTGGTGACCAGCCGAATCCTGAAAGTAGATGGTTGTGGTGAATCGATCGAGGAGGCGGGTGCTGGACGCGGGGAATTTGAGCTTGGGAGTTAGGAAAGTGGTTATGTAAGTTACTGTGCTGACGCGTGGACGGTTTGGCTGTGCGGAGCTACATATGTAACTTTGAGAGAGTTGATAACACGGAGCGCGACATGTATGGATTTTGACCTAGGTATGTGAACTCCATTCACACGCGATGCGGATCACTCGGATATCGAGCCTCAGATAAAAGTTTCATTTTCTTGCTTAACTGTTTAATAAAGTAACGAGTGATAAGCCATGATCGTCAACCCAAATTCAGTCTCCACGCACATTAATTCCACTTAAGCCACCAACAAATCATAAAATCCCATACAAAGAAGATCACAAAGAGCTCCACCCTAAAAACCATCAGTCTCATAAGGTCATATAGAAGAAAGAGAGTTCCTCCACCTATCCCTCATCGAGCAATGGCCATTCGGCAGTCAAGCCCGGGTGTCCCCGGCCTAACCGGCGACACCGTGCCACAATTCCCAGCGCACACTCTTTTCTCAGGAGCGTAACGCTGGTTTCTTCGGGGTTGCCATACTTTGGTTGGTGTAAGTGGTTTTTGCCCGCTTTAACTAGATTATCTTATCGGTTTGGGTCCTTTTGCGCCTCTATTGGATTCTGAATTCCCCGCCAAAGTTGCCCTGGGTGGTGCTCTTGGGAGCTGACTTTTGCTTCTGCTCGGCGGTGCTACCAGATTTCTTGAAGAGAGATTTGAGAACCGAGGAGATAGATGAGCTGGACGAGGAGGTTGACGGTTCGGAGATGAGAGGTTTGGAGGTGGAAGAGGTGTCAGTGGATGGGCGAGGGCTAGTAGAAGACATTTTTGATGTTCTTTTGAGCGTATCGGCTTGAATTGATTTGAGTTTGTGAGTGGACTTGAATGTTTTGCGGTTTGGTAATTGTGGTGAGATGTGGTTTGATTTGAGTATTTTGTTTGCTGGGGTCTACGTAACGTCTAGCTAGAGGTATACTCAAGAGTATTTTATACTACAGGTGACGAGTTACTGTGAGTCATAAGTCATAAAAAAATATTGTCGATCTCAAATACGAGATGCACAACCCTCTTCAACCTTCAAAGTTTGGTCGGACGAATTGAACAATCAACTCCCATACCTCTGGCCCGTTATGGCAGGTGTCAAATCTTGAGTCACAATCCCGGAACTCGTCACCAGCCAACTACGGTCATCTCCGCCCTCGTACCGCGTCTATGGTGCCAAGACAGATATATTTAACGCTCTGTGGGGAAGGTAAGATCCCTGCAGCGATATTACAGCATTCTGAGAGGAAGCTTTGAAGGTGCTGATAGGACTCTAGGATCGAGCTTCTCCATCTAAAGAGGCTTTTGAAGTTAGAAGCATTGATAGAGAATTTCATGTATACGTAGGTATTTTGCATTCGACTGGAGGGATACAGAGAATAGATACTCTATGGGGCTGTGAATTCTTAGTCGGGAAGGTGGTTTGGAGTTATTCTGCACCTTTAGTGCTAGGATCAATCTTTGAGTCATGGGAGAAACATGCATATGTATCTCAGGATGCTACACATAACAAATGCTTTTTTCTTACGACGAGTGATACTTCATGAATCACATTGCCTTCCTCGAATTGAGGTGAGTCCTCGTGTGACGAATGCGCATCCGGGTAGATAGATAAAGATTTAAAAACGAAGAAAAATGCTATTTAATAATTATGATACCTCTGTCGCCAATTACTAGGAAATATATAGGTCTTGCTTCGATTGACTGATACTACATTAACGCCCGATTTGGTAAAAAAAAAATAAGCCTCCAGTAACGATTTACTGCCAATCAAGCGTTAAATAAGGCCTTATTGACGAAAAACGGTGGTATTAGCCTTAATTTGGGATAAGGCTCTTTCTTGGGTAAGAATTCTTCAAAATAAGGCATATATACGGCTTATTTTATATATAAGTATTAGATTTAGATAATTATTATCAAATGGCTTAAGTCTTTATACCAGATACCCCTTATCCATCAAATAAGGCTTTTTTAAGGCTTTTCGGTGGATAAGGTTTATATAAGGCTTAAAAATTTACATTATATTAGCCATATATTACTTCAAGCACCGGAATTTCAGTTCTCCTATGGCTCAGTGGGTAGCATGAGGTATATGCTACCTACAGGGCTCTGGGTTCAACCCCCCCGCCCTTTTCTTTTTGTCACCAACAAGTACATGTCCTTATTTAAAAGTAAGCCTTAAAATTCAATAAGCCTTATATAACTATAATCCGAAATAAGCCTTATAATTCGAAATAATCCTTACTTGAAATAATGATTATTGGTCTGAGTTCCTTACTGGAGATGTAAAAACGGAATAAGTAATATGCGAGCAAAAACGGTTAAATAAGCCTTTTTTAAGCCTTATATAACGCTTATTTTTTTTTACCAAATCGGGCGTTAAAGTAGTGGAGAGCGATGAAACTGGGATCTACTTATAAATCGGGGTTTGCAAAAATATTAACCCCGAGTGAAGAAGACCACAAAAAAAATCAAAAGATAAAGTCGTTCGATCGTGGGCCTGAACTAAGTTTAATGAAGCTCTTTGTGAAGGCTGTGAAGATTTTTGTTTAATTCATTAATTGTATGTAGCCCTTAAGCTATGACAATTGTGTGGAACTGGGTGGCTAGTGCGCTAGGTTTTCCTTTTTTGAGATGCGATAGTGAGTTTGTTTTTCCTAAACGGTCAAGGTGAGCTTAGTTTCTGACGGGAAGTACTGATCAAAAATAGTGAGTTGAGAAAAGTACTGATAGATGCCCAAATATAACACGCAGTGCATACAAAACATACATGTATCTGCATATATATTGCTAGCTCTGGCTGTGCAAGCTCGACTTGCCACAACTCCTAAAACATAGACACAAAGAATAAAACCCCTTGACCACCTGGGCCCATACGCTATCTAGCTATATTCACATGAAGAAAAAATATGATCCGTAGAGGTGTCGTTCAAAAGAAGGAAAAGAAAGAATCCCCCAAACACCGTATAACCCATTTGTAGTAAAAATAAAACGCCAACCGGTTTATCCCAACCTGTATAAGAACAAAAGAAATTCATGGAGTCAAAAGAAAGAAAGAGAAGTGAGGAAAGGAAAGATAGGAGAACAGAAGGGTTTTTGGAAGGTATATTCCTTCAGAAGCAGAGTTTTCTAAGAAAGTTTGAGAAGCCACGTTGCTTGCGGCTTCGTTTTTCGCTGTATTGGTTGCTAATGTGTCGCGATGATGATGATGCAGACACAGTATTTGAGTAATATGATTGACTCTGGCGTACCATCCTCATGCGTCTACCCTCGACCGTTGCGACAGTGAGGACGGTAGACACGGCCACATCAACAATATGGTCCGAGGGGATCTTGTTGGTCGCATTGGTATCAATGAACAGCATCTTGCGTGTAAAGTCCAATTCCACAAGAGTTTCATTTGTATCAACGTTAATTAACTTGATGCAGCCCTTGGCGCCCAAGTTGTCGAATCCAACTTCGCCTTCAATCTGAACGAGATAAGCATCCCCACCATTGCCAATACCAGGGTGATATAAGTAATATCTTCTTCGTGCTGCATTCCAGCTAAGTCTACAGCACTCAGTTGCGTAGGCCTTCTGAATGGCTTCCCTGGCTCTTTCTTCATCGCCTCTCTTCCTACGAGGGCCGAGGAGCTGGTCGGCTTTAGCCGGAACTGTTGGGGTTTTAGGGGACATGGCAGAGAGAACTGCTTCCTTGGGGTAGATGAGAGTGATCAATCCATCCCCTGCCGGAGAAATACGGCGGGAAGGAGGCTCAAGTCCCAGAGTTATAACTGAGGTATCCAGGCCAGTCACTGGATCTCGGCGAAGAAGACTCAGTTCGCTAAAGGTATCATCACTCTGATTCTCACGCATTGCATGAATGCTGTAGAAAGGTGTATAGGCATTTTCACCAAAAGTGAAATGCTCTGGGAATGCGAGAGGGTGTTCTGCCTGGTGCGGATCGGGGAGTGATGCTTGACTGATTATCGTGTTAGTAGGCGTCGATATGCACAAGGGACTTGGAAGAAACTAACCGGTACATATTCAAGATGTAGTTTTTGCCGGTTGGCTTTACTGCACCTCTTCTAATACCTTGAGCTGACTTCCACAATCCTACAAGCTCTTCTTGTGTTGAAGCCATTCCGCACCTTTGGTAAGGAGTTGGAAAGCGCGGTCGCGCATCGTTATCCTCCACTTCTGGTTCTACTGGCAAAAATGGTGACTTAATTGTGGGCGAATCTAGTGACTCGGGTGGTGTAGGATATGCCGCAAATTGCGCGACACGATCCGATATCGAGCGTTCCCGCTGAAGAGCGAAGTAATCCTCATCGCGCTCAAGCGCAAGAGACCCTACACTACTCACTGTATCCCCCACTCCGGGCATATAGACCGTAGGCTCTAGTGGGATTATTATGGATTCATCTGATTTTCGGTGACGGCTTTTTTGGGAGTTGGTATCCTTTACAGACTCGGGTGGTGTGGGGAGAATGAGAGGCTTTTGGTATTTGCGACTGTCTGCACGTCCAAATGTTCCCTGCTCTCCACCAAGTTGGATAGGAGGAGGAATTGCAATCTCAATTGGCTCGGGTGTAAATCGTCTACTTCCAAAAGAGTTCTCCCTTTGCATCGGTGATGGTGCCCTAGAAAACCTTGATCCGGAATTTGTTCTAGATCTCCGCATGTTGTGATGTGATGGGGTTGGTGAACCACCTCTCACAGATGGGAGAGGTGAATGATTCCGGCTCTGAGGGTTCGGAGAAATTGCACGTAATGATGGGGAGTTCTCACGACTCTGCGGAGGAGTGAAATATCCATTGACTAATGGAGGGGTATTATTCCGTCCCAACTTGTGATAATATAACTTGGACAAGTCTGATGTCGTAGCGGGAGTGCCCAATGGGCTTTGATGATATCCGTCAGCGTACATGTTGCTTGATGTTCTTGCGAAATATCCAAAACGATCGTATGGATTCCGGTCTTTGTCTGCTTTCACAGAGGCTTTAGTATGTGGAGATTGGCATATATATCTTATAGCTATCAGTATATTGTGAGCATTTTCCTATGATTAATGGTGTGTTTCAATATCAGTGAATGTACGTACCAGCTTAAAGGAGCCAATGTGGTATATGAACATGTGCTAGCCAGCTAGAGAATCAAAAGGGCTTCTCTTTGAAATATCCAAACCTGGGATGGATGTCTTGTCGGTAGAGAGGAATCATGGGATTTATGAAGCCAATGCGGGTAGCTAAGAAGGATGGGTTGGGTGAAGAAAAGAATATTCTATGCTCCCCGCAATTGATGTAATTCCTCTGCGCCGTAAGGCTTAGGCCGTAACAAGCCATTCTAAAGAGCTCGGTAACCGAAAGCTACAATAAACATGGTCACACCATCGCGAAACAGCTTCTCGGAGAGCGACATAGTTCATCGGTCGGTGGGACAGAATCTACAGCTGACCAGATCAATTGACCACATACCTGCACCTATATTACCGGGCGGCCTAATTAGGCGATACTATTTCCTCTTTTGACAAGTGCCTGAAGGTCATGGCTGCGTGATTGGCCAACGCCATTCTGTGATCTATTTTTGGTGTATGTACGGCTGCGCTCAGGCAGCCATAAATACAAAAATTTCGATAAGTGTAGGAATTTATTCTAGTATGATAAGCAGATACCTACATGTATTGACCCACTATCAAGTCACCCGAAAGGCTTATTAGTCTCCCCCGCAGACCGTTATTTACCGTTTGGTCGGACCTATGGTACCTTAGCCCACACTGCTCACAAATAATATGGTACATATTGTACTTTGTTTCCTATTAGCTGCGAGTCATAGTTATATTAGTAGTGTTAGGAAGTCTGTATCTACTTTCCGTGGGCCCTATTCTTGCCTCGACTATTTTAGGCCTTTGAACCACCTCAAAATTCTCATAAACAAGAAACATATCCACCTTCCTTATTTATATGGGAAGTGTATCGGATCCGGAATCACCTTGCTGGGTTAATCTTTTCTTTAGACATTCTGTATCGCGCTGGACCTGGTGAGCTCAAGGGGAAAATCAAAGATATAACGCTGCCCTGTGGTAAGAATAATGACGATAGTAATGATAATTATAAGCACGAGCCGGTAAACGTTGCGGCCCGAAAATGTACGTCCCAGCCTCGTGGTGACCGACTCAGCCGTACTGGGCCGTATAATCACAGATTATACATAGGGTTAGGGTTTGTATGAACCAAGTATAGTAACCACATGGGCCATAATCGCTGCATATCCGGTAGCGAGATCACAATTATTTTTGCCATAGAAGCCATGGAGCCATAGCTCTTCGGCATATAGAACATATTCTCGATATTTCCCGCGTATTGTAGAAGCTTTCGACAGAGTGTTTTGTTAGTTATAGCGTACCTAAGTGATTTTTCGATTCTGGGGATCCTACAGCTCGCGATCGGTCTTGAGGTTCTATTGCTTATGATATTTATTCAGTTGGGTTCAATTATCATTAAATCCTCTCTCTAGAGCGCCTAAGATTGTTAAGCGCAATATTTACGCCTCACACGTGCTCTCCCGAGGAGGAGGAGGAGGAGGGAGAGGAGCTGGTATAAGCGTTATTATAAGTGAGGCTATGATGAATTAGTAGGTGGCTCTAGATATTTGTTTTAGTTATTTTCTGAAGCCGAATGTTTCACCCGTCACCCCAACACTCCCGCTCTAGCCTAGTCCAAAATCGTTTCAACTAAAGTTTGATTCCCCTGGTAATCAATTAGTTTAGACGAGAAATCGCTTTTTAGCTCAGCTAACTAGCATCCATTTAGACTAAGAACTTTCCTTTTCATCAACAAATAACCACGGTGGAGTTCTACCGTGCTGATGCGGAGAACAGGGATTTAGGCTGGGGCTATCTCACCCAGTTTCGTGCGAGTTAGTAACACGGTCATGTATACCGTGTTTACCTTTGGTTTCTTCACGGAGTGTCTTGTCTCAGCCTTATGGGTCCTGCTGTACCGAATCTCGAGTTATATGAGTTGAACTTAGTGTAACCTTGGAAAGTTCATACTGATATCACTTCAATTTTTCAAGAACTAACGCTTTGAAAAAGCCTTGATTTGATATACATAAATTCCCCTGAATGCTTGTTTATTGCCAAAAGAAATATTATTCGATTGTAACAAGTGTTGTTTCTAGCCGCCTGATATCAAATTACTGCCCCCATCCTAATGTGCTGACGACGGTCAGCCCAAATCAAACAATCAAAGCAGCGCATTTCCATTTCACTCAGTAATTCACCTCGCTTCATTCCAGTCATAATAACTTCCGTGGCTTTCATTTCTCCATGTTGTTATCAGCTCAAAGTAGATAATGTTGATCAAGGTTCTGGAGATGACGATTCGGTTTCAGCCAGATCAGCTGGAGAAGGATCCCCTAGTCTACAGTGGACCAATTGTCCATGAGAGAGTCCGCACTCTGCAATAGTGCGTTCAGGGCTAAGATGTTTGCCTGCTGCATTTTCAAAAAGAATCGAGAAGTCGGTGGTCGGAGCGAAATCTCGAAAGAGTGAAAACTTCATATTTTGAGCCAGTTTTTCAAAACATAGATATGGCGATATAGGTTCGACTATTAAATCGTCAGGAGGTTTAGAAAATAGGCCTGCCGGATATTCGAGAAGAATTACAAGGTTTATTTCTTCTGGAGGGGGAGTTTTTCCGGACGAAGGATTTCTCTTTGCGGCGGGTGGCTGTCTTTTGCATCCAGTGTATCGCTCCGGATGAATTTCAAGATAAAAACATTGGCCAGATCGACCAGCTCCAAGAAGTATGTCAGCCCAGAAACCGGGTGGTACAGGACAGTTATCTCCGGTAAATACTCTTGGTGGACTATCAATGTCGAAGATCCTTTTTGAAAATTTGAGAAGTTTCTACCAGAATGCGTTAATTTTGAGGTATATGGCTCTCTGGTTGGTGGGGCAAAGTATAAAGTACCTCCCAAGTATTGACTTCAGTTACAGGAAGGACATACGGATCACTGCTCCCATTCTGCGTCCGTTTATACAATCTGATGTAGGCACGACCTGGCAGAAATCCTGCCAAAAGCTCATCACTATTAGACATCAGCCTGGAGGATTGCGAGGTCTCGGGAGGTTTGATAAGTTAGGCTGGAGGTTGTGGCGAGCCGAAGAAGAGTGATGGTAGCTAGCGGATACTTGGTGTAATTTCTTGTCCGTAATATGAGCAATGGACAAACAAAGATGTGTGCCTCGACTTATTTGCTTGATGACAGACCTCCTATAGACGAGAATTGCGATGATGAAACGATGATGAAGATAATGACAGTGATAATTCTGGGAATTATGGTGGGATTGATGAAATTTGGGAGAAAAGGTTGAAAGGTGGGAGAAAAGACTAAAGTGTTGCCGAAGTTAAAGTTTACGAACACCACTCCATGTGGCCCCGTCCCATTGTATGCACAACCCAGCCAGGTGCATTTACTGAGCTACTACAAACGTTCAAGATGAAAACACAACTACCTCCGTATGCCCATGTAAAAATTATTGTACTCTCATAACATGTCAATAGAGACTACAAGTAGTAGCCGGTGTTGATTACCACCAGGGACAGATACATCTAGTTAGTGGCATCTCTGCGATATAAGTGCGATAGAGTGCTATCAATATCGTATAGGACAGACATAATTAAACTATTCTAAAAATCCTTTCGAAGATTAACTTGAACTAAGGTAACTACACGTACAGTCGCATGCAACAAGTTCCCGCCGTTTTTTGACGGTGAGTCAAACCATAACCACTCCACCATGAACTCTGCAAAATTTTCAAGATATGACAAGTGGCAAGCTGTTGTTATTCTCCATAAAATGGGCTGAAATACTGTACAAATAAATAAAGATACAAACTGTCCAGTTAGGAGGAGGATTGGCCTACTGGATCACCAGATTTCAACGCCATAGAGAATTCATGGGAAATGCTCAAGAGTGCACTAAAAAGGCAATGAAGTTATAGACAGAGAAGACCTCATCGTGATGATCAACCTTTTATCGCTGCACAAGAGGAGTGGGGGGGGGCATTGTCTCAATCAAAGCTAGATAAATTGCCATTAAGGGTTGAGGCATGTCTCAAAGCCAATGGAGGCCATACTAGATGGTAGTCTCAAAATCGTTTTCTTTATATTCTATTTAACTCTACTATGTATTCTCTATTAAATATCTTCACTTGTAGTTGAGTAACGAGTATTGAGGTTGGGTGTTGCATCGTGAACGGCGAGAACTTGATGCATGCGACTGTACATCTACATATAATTGTACATGTAATTGAAAGACTATAATTAAAAGTCTAAGTTAACATGTGCAGGGAGTAAGGATTAGCTTCGAGCGCAGATTGTATTGATTACGTCGCAACTGGGAGTGAGACTAAGTCAGGACCTGTCATCCACTAGCACTATTTCCTCCTTACTTGAGCTACAGACTCTCCAGAATCCTCCTAGTTCTCTCCTCCCCTACCCATTCCTCCATCCTCGCTGCAACATCCCCAACCAGTCTTTCGTAAGCTTCCCCGACAAAGAACAAGCCACAATGGGCTCCCACTTCATCGACACCTCTCATCTCTACTTTTACCCAACATTTATCGTTTTTATCGCTAGGCAAACAGCAGAATCTGCGATCCCTTTTCTTCTTATCCTTTCCCTTAGGCTTCGGGGATGCAGAATTACTCTTGGGCGTTTCGGGACGTAAAGCCGGGGACGATATCGGCAGATTCGAACGTGAAGAAGAGGCCGATATTGTGGCTGTCGATGGAGGTGCGGATCTTGGCGAAAGTGGCTGTACAGGAGGCTCTGGAATGCCGTTCATACGTCGATGCTCGGCATCCATACGTTCTTGTTCCTTGCGAAGACGCTCAAGTTCTTGTTTTTCATGTGTGTTTTCTTCGATTCCTTGTGATGTTAATTGAGGTTCCTCCTTTTCATTTCCTTCTCTTCCCATCGCGATCTCTTGCTTCTCTCTCTCGTTCTCAATTTCACCTTGCTTTTTCTCCCTTCTCAATTGTACCTCTTTCTCCATTCTTTCTAGCTCCCTCACAATCTCACGTTCCTTCTTTTCCAGCTCCCTCTGGATCTCTCTTTCTTCTCTTTCCTTCTCCCGCTCCCATCCTCGCATTAACTTCAATCTATCCCTATCCGTAACCTCTCTTTCTTTATCCTCTTCCTTTAACTTCTTTTGGATTTCTTTCTCTTCTCGGTCCTTCTCCTTATCCCATTCTTTAAGTTCTCTTCTCCGCTCACGTTCCCGGCGTTCTATCTCCTTTGCCTTATCCTTCAGCTGACGCTCCTTTTTTCTATCTTCGTCTTTTATACCACGATCAACCCCTTTACCCTTATTCTTTCTCAACTTTTCTAGTTCTTTTTCACGGTTATTGACAGCTTTCTCGTAGTCTTTTACTGCCTTCTCCCAAGCTTTCCGTACCCTTGCTGCTTCTTTTTCAGCCACTTTACGAACCATGGCGTCGGGTATTTGAGAGTAATCGAATGAGGGTGGCTCCTCTGGAGGTGGCGGTATAGGTGGTAATTGAAAGTCCGAGAGAGTGAGATCTATGGATATTTGCTTTTCCAGAGTTTCCATGGTGTCTGTGGTGATCTGGCGGGATATTGGATACATGGGCGAGGGCTCTCCACTATCATTGTATCCGGATTTCTCGTTATACTCCCCATTCCCACTGTAACATTCTTTGTCATCTTTTGAATACTGAATATTCTCGTGGACGAACAGCTCAGTTGGCGGTCTCCCATCTACAACCGAGAACTTATCTGCGTCCACAATATGGAGTGCAACCGGTTCACCTCCAAACTCATCGTCCGTTATTGGGTCAGCAGGAATATGCTTCATGTCGTCCGTTGAACTTGCAGTATTATAAGAGCTCGCACTGGCATTTCTTTGATGTTTCATAGAGCTGCTACTAGGCTCACCCACTTCCACAACACCATACTCGATGTATTGACTTGATCTTTCGTGCCCAATGAGATCGTGATCCAGCTCCACTCCCGGAACGCCATGTTCGCCATCAAAAGCCCTCACTTTGCCAGAATCAGGTGAAACTGTGGTCTCGGTGGTTTCTTTGATTCTCCCTGTTGAAGAGGTATAATAGTTAACAAATCTCACGCGCTCAGTATTGCCGCTGACACCTATAACACCATCCTCGAGAGCGCGAACGGCACTATATCGATTCTTGAGTCCTATGATGTCTGCGAGACACCCACCAAACTCAAGATGAGACATGAGATATTGACCTGTCGCCTTTGTAAGGCGCGAGTGGTACTTGTTTATAAAATGAAGTGTAGAATCCCAAGTTCCCTCTGTTTCCGTTAGTGGTGGCCGACAACAATCGAATCATCAGAATGGGTTTAACTGACCTATTTTTGGTAAAACAACGGTGTAGTTTCTCGCTGGCGGTTTGGAGTAAAACTCGTCTACCTGGGAGCCACCAGAGTTCATGGTGTGAAGGGACATATTGCTCTGGCTCGAGCCTTCTGCGCTATTGGCATATAGCCCCTGTGCATCCTCTCCTGGACTCTTGGGGGCAGGACGAAAAATGCTACCGAGACCAGCTGAGATGACACCCGGGTGCATACCGAGGAACGGGGTGTCGAAAGCAATGATCCCCAGAATTCGATGACGCTTCTTTCCCGTGTAATCTTTAAGTAAGGCAACATCGGCAGCAAGCAGACCTCCCATCGAATGTCCCAATAGAATCACATCTGTGTTTTCATTCTCGAATTTCGATAGCCTGTTGAAAGCTGTCAGGATAATATTGGATTTTTGATGAATCAATAGTAGGGAAAATACCATTTGGAGAAGTTCTCTGTAGCAACAAGAATATTATATCGTGTCTTGAACTTTGGATAAACTTTTGTATGCACTAGATACCCCAACGGATCCAGCGTTACACAAAGAAGGTTATGCAAATGCGCAGGAAAGCTCTGAAAGCTTGTCTCATTTCCCATAAAGCCATGGATGTAAATCACCAGTAACGTCCGTTTGCTTTCATCACTCACTGGCACAAGCGATACCTGTGACGCCGACCGACCATGACCAGTCTTACTGTCTTGTGCCCATGCTGACAACTGATTTGATGGCGGCCTAGGTGGTAACTGTGGGGGCACCGGCCGGAGAGATGCGGGAGGGGGTGGCGGCGGGTATTGTAGATGCTGTGGGTCAGCGTCCCCAAGAAGCGGTGTGTACGGTGGGGGAGGATCCATTCTTCACGGCGATTTACAAACTGGCTGACTGGCACAAGAGGTATGAAGAACAGACACCGGCAGATAGATATATAATCTGCAGCATGGGAATGTTCCTCCTGCGTAAATTATAAGCTTTGAGTATCCTCTGTCCTGGTTAAACCGAATTGATGCCTGTCTCGATGACGTTAATGCACGGACTTGGCAACCGTCTTGGCACTCGAGGCTATGGGTTCGGGGCTTAGCCAGGGCTAGGGTTTCATCCACAGTGAATAGAGAGATCATAAGATTTGATTCTTGGCTATGCGGTACGAGAGCCGCGTAATGCTCTTGAATATAAATGGATGTTTAGTTTGAGGGATGGCTTGTTGAGCTGCCAACGGAGGCTTTTAGTGGAACGAGTGATTAGTCGTGATCAATAGTATACACGCGTTGCGATGTTCGTCCCTCGACCATCCAGTGCTGTTGCCTGTCGATATATTTTCTGCCTAGAGGGGTGTTACGTATCCTTAGTGCTGCGCCGCCCGACTGCTCAAACGTTTGCGATCTCACTCACACACATCACTATTACTATCCCTGACCTTAACGTCCCGTATGGCGATATGGGTCTAGGAGCGAAACTACAAAAGCACCTACCAAGGCTGATACATCACGGCAAATCTATAGTGCTGTTCTTGACGAACAAATCCCTCACCTAACTACCAGAAGCTCAGCAGATTTCCCCAGATGATACGTATATGACAATTTCCGTGCTCTTACCTGGCCAGCTGCTGGTGTCCTTAATCCTTTCCCGCTTAGCAGACCCGAATCTTCCAATGGTTGATCTTATGGCTAATTAAGACAGTATATATCTACATGTATTTAGCTATATGTTCAAGTCAGGTTTTAACACGCTGGTATGTGTAAGCTTCAGCCATTTCTACCCCCCCCCCCCTCCTCCAATCAAGACTTCGATTATCTTCGATGATGCGAGTGTACCTTATATTCCTCGAGCTTCTATCACATCGCCCATACAAAGGTATCCATCATTACTTACAAACATACCTAAAAATATGGCATCATCAGTTAAAAAATACCTGGAAGGTTGCCAAATTATCCTCCAGTACCAGTAAGCTCCATGTTAAGCTGCAAGCTAATATTTCTATCTCGCACTTAGAGACAAGGTTGACATTAAATTCCTCTAAAAACACAAGCGACCGCGACCTAACATCGAAGCGTTATAAGTATGAATTCTTATACTAGAAAACTGCAAAATACGAAGCGGATGGTTGTTTCTGCGCTCGACGTGATCTTCACGTTGCCTACGCCTTATACAAAGATGAGCCTTCAATCAATGCGGTTGCCATCATGGTGACATACCAGATCCACTCTCGCGCATTCACCTTCAGTCGTTTTCTGTGTTTTCTTGATCGAGAGACCAGATCGTTAAAATCGTTTCTACGGATTACAATCGGAAAGAAGGACATGGCTAACATATTAAAAGATGTGGGTATCGGGACCGTAAGTGGGTGCGAGCCTATCATGGGTGGGTCTCTCAATCTGTCCTACAAGATCAGAGTAGAGGATCATGTCGATGCAAAACACGTGGTGAAAATCAGAAGTCACGGCTACATCGAATCAACGGCCCCTTTATGAAATTCCTTACGGCTAAATATTCGGATGTCCTTCCAGTCCTTGAAACGTATACTAGTGCCCGGGGGGGGGGGGGGGGGGGGGGTCCAAGCAGGATCAATGCATTCAGATATACAAAATGGTCCCCGGCGTATTAGGGACCTTACATTATCCTAAACTCACTTTTAAAGAAAAGGTTCGGGTCCTCAAAGCACTTGGAAGAGCCTACGGCGCTATATGGGACATGGAACCCCGACTCAGTGTTTCTGTGCAGTTTCCGAAAAATGATTTCACCGCTGATTTACCCAGGTATTTATTCTAACTATCCTTATAGTCATTTTGGAATGGGTGGTAATTTTTCATCGGTGGTTGAGTATTTGCGAGAATGGATAGAAATGAATTTGAGAAGCTTAGAAGCTTCAAATTTACGTACGCTCAAGAAATATAAGGCGGCATATCTCCCTCGAATAAAAGACTTTATTGAATGTGGGATGAAGATTCCACATACTATCGAAGCCGTACCACAAGTTACAATGCATTATAGTTTGGGGCCACAAAACATCCTTTTATCCAAAGACACACCAACCAGGATTGTTGCAATTTTGGATTGGGAAATCTTTTATCGCCATCCCTTCATGGTTTCGGTCTCAAAGATTACCGAATCATTTTTCCGGATATCCAGACCGAATGGTACGCAGGGTCCTTGTTATGATAGGACCGAGGAACCTCGAAAAGCCTTCTGGGGGTGCAATACCGTTCTGGAAAGCTCTGTATCAAAGCAAGCCAGCAAGGGACTTTATGAACTGGTACACATTCGGATTATTAATAAATCCTGTCAATCATATGGCTTTTTTAACCATGGACGGCTATACATCGGACGATCCTATGAAAAGCGCAAATGCCGAGTTTATAGTGGCTTTTATGGAAGTATGGGGGGTAGTCTGAGGGGTATGGGCCTGAGTTATTCAAATAGGCTAGCAATAAGCATGATAGTATACATTTGAACCTAGCTCCTATCGTTTTGAGGCGCAGCGAGAGGAATGTTATTATTACTCTTGTACAATATCTACAGTGTTGAGCCTGCCATTGAGTACAATTGATTTCTTCAATATTAGTTTGCCTGTGCCCAGCCTCACCCAGCTATCCTTAGCGCTCTGATGAAACGATCGACTTTGCCAAATGGTGCTGAAAATAGAACCAAAGTCGACCAGTGGCAGTGCGAGTGAACCTTTAACCCAACAGCGTACCACAACACTGGCCTGTGCTACAACCATTCAATCCAGCCTTGGCGCATGTGTCACCCAAGAACACCGGCTGTGTGCTTGCTGCATGCCATTTATGCACGGCGAGAAGGCTTAACAGTTTTAGCGAGGTGCGAAAACTCGGGAATAGGGATTGCCGATTTTGTAGAGTACAGGGGTTGCTACTTTATGTATGCAGCGTAGGTTCGAAGAGTTACAGAGGGGATATGTGTAGAAATTGGTTTTGAGGGTTGAAGTGTGACTTTTCCAGATGGTGCTCTACTGTATGAACGTATAACAGAAGAAGCAATTATGGACCGGATGTCACGGGTTAAGATGCAGATATGGGGGGAAACAGCTTGAGTTCGCTAGAGTACCTACACTAGAGAAATCGACTCCAAATACATGTCAACCACGCAACCCGGCACGCTCAAAGATTTGAAACTCCAACTTGTATTGTAGCATGGTTGCTTAAGCCCACAGGCAGGCACAGCCAGTCGACTGGCCCCGAGTAGGATGGGCTAGAGCAGGGTTAGGGTTTGTGAGGTGCGACATGGCTTGGAAGTTAGTCAAGGTTGGATGTCTAGGATTATTAACAGGATCCAGGATCGTTGCTGTTGTAGGACGATGTAAAAACTTGAGGCTTTCCACGGAGAATAGCGCGGAGCGGAGACAAGTGTGAACTTTTCCTTGTTAAGGTGTTAAGGGGATAGGTATTTGGAGGGTTCCTGAGCACCGCAGCTAGGTGAACAACATCATAGGGCATCACTCGCCCCTCTAGACCATCCGATCTTGACATACATATGTACATGTACGCATGCATGCATGTTCGCCAGCGAAGTTATTGAGTATCCCCACTTGAGCGTCCCCTGCCCAGAGAGCATGTAACATCCCCAGACTGATAGTTTATTTTGGACCCATCTGCGGCTGAGTTGAGCGACGTCGCACAAGCGAAAAAAGCTGTGTAACAGCAACAACAATGAAATGCATGAAAGGGAAAAAAAAAAAAAAAAAGGGCTTCTAAAAGGGCAACTCACGCCCCCCCCCCCTTCTTTCTCTCTTGTTGTTCTCGTTCTTGTTCCTATATGTCACCAAGACCCGAGTGAAAAGGGGAAAGATCAAATACTCAACTCAAAAACTCATTCCTCCACGAGATGGCATACACCTACCCACATGCCGGTGCCCCTCCCACCTGGGGTGCAAACACGCAGATCCCACCCACCCCACCATTCTCTCCGCCCATCGCTCATCCGACGCCGGCCGTCGACGCAGCGGCCCTAACCGCCCAGAACCAGCCCGCATACCAGGCACCACAGTTTGCGCCGCCTCCACCCCCGCCGCCGAAGCAGAGCGGAGGGGTCTTAAAGACGTTGAACTTCTTTAGCAGCAAGCCGAGCTATCAGCAGTCCATTAATACAGGCGAGGGATGTCTGTCGAATCCAACCAGCCCCACGTTTTATCCGCCTGTGCAGGGACAGACTACAGGGACAACTTATGGTGTTACTGGGGGGCAGAACTATGCGGGTGGTGCAACGGTGGTACCACAGCAACAGGTTTATAATCCACCGCAACCGCAACCGCAACCGCAAACTAAACCTCAACCACAGCCGCAGCCGCAGCCGCAGCCGCAGATAGTCGGGACCTATCATAGCGGACAAGGAACAGTGCCTGTGTCGCCGGTATATAGTCAGCCTGCAACGTCGTTCCCGCAGCAGCAGCAAAACCAAGTGCCCCTGTATCAACCCCAATCTCAGCAACAGCAGCCTCAGCAGCAATACCATGATCAACAAAGTAACAACAATGGGGTGATGTCCCCGCCGGCCTATTCACCCGCCTGGGCTGAGAAACCGCAGCAACCGCAGCAACCGCAGCAACCGCATATGGTTGGAGGAAAGATCTACAACCCGGGAGCCAGTAGTGGGACGGGCCCTGAAAAAGTACTATTGCAACATCCGCAGACATGGCCATCGGAGAAGCCACAAAGTCAGGGGAATAACTATAATCAGGTCAATAATAATAATAATAATAATCCGAATCTGGGGCAGACTCAGAGTCCCCATAATCAGAATCCAAGCAATCCGGGTCAGCATCCCGCATATGCAAACGCAGCTTCGCCCTCAAATCAGCAAACCGTATATAATCACAGTGCAAGCCCAGTCCACGGTGCAAATAACACAAATTCGTGTCCCCCGCATACTAACCCACCGCCTGCCACTGCCACAAAACCTAGCCAAGCGTACCCCCATCTTGCGCACCAAAATGCACCAGATAGTAGCGCCTACTGGGCTACATTAGTATCGCAGGGTAAGGTGCCACTTGCGCCAAAGCCGGAACTACGTGGTCTGTTCAGAGGCATTGCGCGTTGCATAGTTAGTATATCCCTTTGTATGAGATGATAAACCTCCCAGCAATGTGAGAACTCATGATTGAAAACCGCCCACAGAACAAAGAATGCAGTATAGACTCCACACCCACATGCGTCCTCTCCCCCGCAAAGATGAGCATGTACTACGGCCTCAGCCCCTCTTACAGCTCCCGCGAGTCCCGTGAGTATCCGCCTGCCAGTTGACCCCTACGAACCCGAGGCTTGCAGTTATTGATATAAAGTCTACTAGAGTTCTTTGCCCGCTCCCAACGCGCCCCCAAGGCACTCGTAGCTCTTTATAACGCCCTCTCAACAGAGCACCTCCTTATCCCTGCGCCGCCTGGCGACGGGCGCCTGAAACCCCACACGCCCGCACTGACCATTGCCGGCTTCGAGCATTGGCTGCTCCTTAATGCGCTGATTAACCCGGATGCGGAGCACGCGCGCATTTCTACCTTTCTTTCAAAGCCTGGTAGGGTCGTCGTTGATGATGAAGGAAGGAACATACCTGCGAGTGGGTTTCCGCGGCAGGCACTGCCGGGGGGCCCCGATGCGTGGGTTGTAGGAAGGTACAGAGGTCCTTTGGAGACGGCGCTTGGCAGCAGTAGCGCCGGGGATGAAGTATCAGAGGAGGAAGGATGGAAGTCTGAGGTGGAGGCATGGAAGAAGAAGGTGTGGGAGGGTAAAGGGGAATTAGAAGAAAACCAGAAGGAGCTCGAGGAGAAGGATGAGGAGTTAGAGGAGTGTAAAGAGGAGTTGGAAGGCGCCCAGGAGGAATTGAGGGGATGTCGTAGCGAGCTGGAGAAGAACCAGGAGGAGCTGAGAAAACGTAGTGCAGAGCTAGAAAGCATGAAGACAGCGCTAGCAGAGAGCATAAAGAGGGCCGATGATGCAGTGTCCAAGCTGGCGGACTTTATGAGCGCACAACAACTGCAGCAGCAGCACCAGCAGCACCAGCAACAACTGCAGCAGCAGCAACAACAGCAGCAACAGCGGCAGCAGCAGCAACAGCAGCGATCACACCCAGGTATGCCACCATACGCACCATACCAGGGACCTCCGTCCCAAGCGCCCCAACACCCCCAAAACCCACAGAACCCTCCATACCCGCCAAACACCCAAGCGCCCCAGTTCTCTCATAACCCTCTAGCTCAACAGCCACCACGCTCCACACCGACCCCGCAAAGTCCACAGAACCCCCAGCAACAGCACTACCCACAGCCCGGATACCCGAGACACAGCAATACTTGGTCGACACAATCCTCGGGTACTACATCGCCCCAAGAAGACCCGGCGCGGAGGATGTCCGCATCATCGTCGTGGGGGCAGCAGGGGGGCCCGCCTCCTCAAGGCCAGAACCAAGCTCAGGGACAGGGACAGGGCCAGGGACAGGGCCAGGGACAGGGCCAAAATCGGAGAATTTCGCAGACATACGTCAAGGCGCAGTACCAGCCTGTGAGAAAGTGAGTGAGCGGTGCGTGAGCTGAAAATTGGAGAAAAAAAGGAAAGGCATACAATTGGGTTGTTTTGTTTGTTCTTTTGGTGGTTTTTTGTTTTTATAACTAGTCGGTCCGTTTATTTATAATATGTGGTTGAAATTGAGCATGGAATATCACTCGGTTTTTTTTGAAGATGCAAGTGTCTAGAGTGCTTGGGTGTTTGAAACGGCTGCCAAGATGCCTCTGTAACCGCTCCCGGGTCAATTGCAGGCAGCATCGGGGAGTGCCCGGGGGGCAAGGTGGAAACTTCGGCGCGTGCTGGTAAATCTGTGGGAGCTGCATTGATCCCCCGGTCCGTGGAGTGGTGGAACAATTCCCTGCTATATCCAGATAGAGTCGAGGTTGTTTGATGCTTGAAGCTATGGTAATGAAGTAGTATGGCGCGTTTGATAGTACCCGCTAACCCCCCCCATTAAAGGGTTCTGAGAAACTGAGGAGGGTGGATGTGCAATGCATATATTCGGATACGTCGTCTGTTGGGTATTACATCACTCTCAATGCTATACTCCTCCGGGTTCATTGTATGTGCATAGCAACATTCCGCTCGTTGGTGTCTCTTGAAACACATCACAAACAGCGCGGGCTCCAGGTCCCTACTCTTTCGACTATATGTATCGTTTGAAATTCCCTTGGAATATTGATTCCATGTTCTACCTAGGTAAAAAAAAAAAAAAAAGAAAAAAAAAAAAAAAAGAAAAGACAAAAGGCCGCCCGCTGGATACAACCTTTAATTTGAGATAATTTGTCCAACAGAGGGAGTCGACACCCTCCGAGCAATCCAAACCGACCCTGTCCAACGCCCAGCATCCAAAACGCCACACGTCTTCGACGGAAAAACCAACTCTCTCCCAAGATGGAATAATCGTCTAAGCCTTCATGACCTTGCACAATGTTAAATCCACAAGACATCACTCGGCCCAGTCGCCCAATGACGTAAGACGGGTATCGGCACAACAAGCTTAAGCCCTGAGCACGCTAGCTAGTCAGGGGTTCGTTCTGCGCGCACCAGCCACACACCGAAATAGGAATACCAGAGCGAGCTACTCTACTTCTTACCAACCGGGCCTGGATTTCTGATCGATTGCTTATCGAATATTACATAGAAAATCTCTTCGCTGCACAGCAGCTGGCTGTCTACAAATTTTTTCTCTTTCAGCTCTAATGATAGCTCTCTCGCGGAAATAGAGGGGGCCGTGCATGCCTGGCCTGGCCTGGCCTTCGGGTAATTATAGCTGGTTATTAGTATATATATACGAGACCTGAGTAGGTTGGGCGGGACAAGCTAGTTATCTGAGTCCCTGAATCTCATGTCATGGCCCGTAAACTTGTAATAGGAATGGATACATGTATTTATGTCTATACTCGAAATCAGATGTGGTCGATGGTATCCAGCATCATAATCACTTTATACTCACCTGCCTAGAGGCACCCACGGATAAATCCCTAGCGGCCCCCCACACGCATACGCCACAGCTGTCGCCAGGGTTGTCTCGGCCGACGGCCGTAACGGGCGGGTTCGAGAAGAAGCTCAACCACCACCAAGCACACACACAACCCGACATGGATGGATGGGTGGATGGATGGGTTGTCAAACACCACGGTACCGGAAATTACCCAGCACCGCAGCTGTCGGCCGACAACAGGCGACCCTACAAATAGCAGCGTTGCCCCCCCCCCCCTCACCAAGCCTCACCAATATCAAAACTAAAGCCCATTAATCCAGCAGCAGCAATGGCCGAAACAATCTCCCTCCAAAGCATGAGATCCACGCAAGACCTCACCAGCCGCCGCCGGCCCGGCGGACACACGAGCAGCGACATCACACTCACGCCGCCGCAGAAGCAGGACCTGGACCTGGACGGGATCGCCGCCGGCGCCCAGTCCGCCGGCGCAGCACCGGCCGTGCTGCCAAAGTCGCTGGCGCTGAAACAGCTCGTTGGCGCTGCGGTCACGCTGCTCGTTCTGTTCTGGGCAAACACTTCGTGGATCATGGGGAAGATGGTATGTATGCATCCCACGAAATAATGGAAATGATCCAATCAGCTAACTCGTAGCTCACAGTACAAACAAGCCGACCACGCCCACCGCCTCCACATCCTCGCCATCGACCTCGACGGCGGCCCCATCGGCTCCTCCCTCCTCTCCACCACCGCCCTCCTCAGCGGCACCCACGGCCAACCCACCTACGTCAACACCCCCTTCTCCTCCTCCTCCGCCTCCTCCGAGTCCTACTCCTCCATCTACACCCGCGTCCGCACCGGCGGCCCCATCTGGGGCGCCATCATCGCGAACCCCTCCGCCTCCACCAACCTCAGCGCCGCCCTCACCTCCAACACAACCACCCCCTACGACGCCACCACCGCGCTCACAATAATCTACAACGAGGCGCGCTTCCGCACCGTCGAGATCTCACTAATCTACTCCAACCTGCTCGCCGCCGCCGCCGCCACCGCCGCAACCTACCAGCGGTCGCACGGCGCCGCCACCATCGCCTCCCTGAGCAACGCCAGCGCGTCCAGCATCGCCGCGGCCCTGCAGCCCGTCGCCTACACCGTCGACAACATCACCCCCTTCGGCTTCTCCAGCAGCGTCCTGCTCAACACCGTCATGTTCGTCTTCCCGCCGCTGAGCCAGTTCTTCGTCGTCATGGCCGCAAACGGCATCCTCGCCGGCGGCGCCGGCGCGTATGCGCGCTGGTCGCTCAGGTCGAACCTGCTCGTCCGCGCGGTCCTGGGGACGGCGTATCCGTGCTTGATTGGCCTGTCGTGGGCCGGCTGGGTGTATACGTGGAAGGACGGCGCGGACTTGGGCGCCGGGCAGTACTTTTTGAGCTGGTTGACGGTCTGGCTGTATGCGTCCATCAACTTCTGGGTTATTGATGGGACGTGCGCGGTGCTGGAGATGCGCTGGATGCCGTTCTTTGTTATCACGGCTATCATCACGCAGGTTTCGGCTGTGCTGTCGCCTATGGAGCTGGCGAGCAACTTTTACAGGATTGAGTATTTGCTGCCGAGTCACCACATCTGGGGAATCCTCATGACAATCTTTGGGAATGGCGCCGCGAATGAGTTGAAGGTGAACCTGACCGTCGCAGTGCTGATGCTCCCAGTTGCGGCTTCGTGGGGCCTGTGGGGTAACTGGAGGAGGTGGACAAAGGCGTCTGCGGCGGTGGCGGCAGGGAGGGCGTAGGGTAATGATTGATTTGCGGGTTTTCTATTGTTTTGTTTTTGGGAGTTTGGTCGCATATGTTCTTTGCTTTATACCACAGTTTGGTCTTTTTAGGGCGTTTACATAATTTGCATCTTTTTCACATCGCTATCAATCTTCATTTTACATACATCTGTTCGAACCTGCATGTACATACCCAAATCTGTTTTAATAGTTGAATTGTTTCGTTTTATACATGCGACTGTTTTGCGTTAATACGTATTGCCCGGAGATAAATAGAAACAGCAATGGATATTTATTTATCGCTGTACGTTTCCCTTAGTACATTGATTTCATTTTTAGCCTACATTACAAGAGCTAGAGGCCAATTGAAACAACACCTGAAAATGAATACTGCAACGTAGTAGAGCATGACATTGGCCCAGCTTTAATGAGAGCTGATCTGTCTTGACCCGTTTAGCCTCTACTTAGCCGTATGCCAATCCTATTTTTCTAAAATCATTGGTGCCTCATATCAATCAATCTCTTGCTCTAGCCCCGTTCTCGCATGAACCTCGCAAGCTTTATTCGTTTGTGGAATTCGAAGCCAATGAATCAATTGAGCCCATAGATCCCATAGATCCCATAGAGGCCATAGAGGCCATAGAGGCCATAGAGGCCATAGAGTCCAGAGAGGCCATAGAGCCTAGAGAGCCTAGAGAGGCCACAGTAGCCGCAGCTGTCGGGGACGCAGAGAACATAGACGTAGTGACCACAGATGCAGAGGTCCCAGAATCAGAGCCCAATGTAAGCGCTTTCAATAGTGATGATACTTGTAACTCGTCCCGCCTGCACTGGATCTTATGGTATGGCCAACGCCTATTTTGGCATCTATCGGAAGATGTTAGCTCCATTTTTTTATCACAGAAGTCAGCCCTGCATGTATACATACTTTGTTGAACAATACCACGCGCCGCTACATTTCTTGCAACGCTTTAGATTATTTGGCCTCCCACATTCTTCACAGATAGCGCTGTGCTTTGGCTCTGGTCCGTCACGGATAACCTCCATAATATACCCTACATACCCGTGGAGTGTATGTTCGGTATAGATAGGCCTTGTTTTTCGTGGATAGTTTCCGCGACAATCTCCAGTTCCTCTGAAATGTCCTTCTGTAGTTGTTGGTAGGAGAACATTAATCTTGGCACCAGATGGTATCGATGTGCGTGAGGATATTGAGTCTCGAACGCGTAATGTAGCTTCGTCGATATCAAACCTATGCGGGTCAAAGAACCAGTCAGGACTCTTCATACTTTCGGCATCTCGATAGTTCAGAGCACCGCCAATCTGGCGGTTGAGAAAGCGGTCTTCGGGGTTTCGTTCTATAGCCTCGAGGGTGTGCTTCCAATCCCCGCCGCCCATATCCTCGGCCGGACAAGCACCTTTACCGTCGAGGAAAACAAAAGAACCGTCAGAGTCAGCTTCCTCGAAAATTGCCTCAACGGCAATATGGTGCACCCAGTCATCACCCTACAAGTTTCTTTCAGCAAGTCTCTAAACCTATATAGCAACATCGTTTTCACTTACCAAATCGTACAGATAGCCGAGAGTCGATTTTTCATTTTCCAAGATATCTCCAAGGGTAAACAAATCGTCTGCAATATACTCATGACCATATTTATACATGTTTACCATATCGACATGCTAAGGAATCAGTCATATAATATAGAACATTGGGAATGAAGACTCACGTTAGAATCCCTAGGTCCAAACAGAGAACCATCTTTGTGGTCGGTAAACAGATATCCGTGATAATTACGAGACCTTCCTTAAAATTTAGCTTGGAATATTCTTAAACGGGGGTGCCTTAAATACCATCCCATAGCCGCTTGTAAGATTCGGTCCTGAAACAAATTTAACTTTAAACCCCCGGAAACCTTGATACTACGCGTGATATAATGATTCCCCAGACCATCCTTGATTCCCGGCATAGTAATTTCCAACATGTAATCACATCGGTTTCGCTGATGGCTTATCCTTGCCTCTTTAAGTTCCTTCATCTATACGGGGTTAGCTTCCTCTAGAAGTGCACAACATGTACTTCTGGCACTACCTTTTTCATGATGAGATGAGTAATAAATTGAGTTTGTGGTGTTTCCTTATCTTTATAGAGATGGCCAAATTTGGCCTCCCTCTTGAGATACCGGGGAAGATCATCCTTATTCTCCGCCTCTCCCGCTTTTAAATCATTGATACCCCACGTTTCGAATCGTCCTGTCCGTTTATTCACCTCTGGCTTAAAGAATAAAGGATCTAAAATGATATTGCCAAGTCAGTTTTTAGGGATGAAGACGCATTCACGCGGACTAGGGCCTTACCTGACAGATAAGCCTGGTGAAGCCCAGATAGGTCATCCTTTCTATCGATTTCTACCCAGTATCGTTTCCCGGATAATTCATGTGGATAGGGCGGTGGATTAAACATGGCCTTAGTAGTTCTATGAAGCCGGTTGTCGATTATATTTAGTTGATAGTCAAATCCCAGATGATTCCAAATATAGGAGGTTGAACGATTTGATGTCGAAGGCGAAAAGAAAGGCGGCAGTAATGACAAGAAGAAAATAAATAACTATTGATGACGTGTAATGAATTTTGTATAAGTGACCATTTCAGCTTAGAACACGTATGTATTAAACGGAAGGTACACTCTACATAGATGTAACTGAAGTTACCATGTCCTTCAGATGGGACCTGTGGTAACTTCGAGCTTGGGATATTTTTAAGGTCAGGGTTATACTACACGTATCCAATGCCATGTTAGGAAGTAGTATTCCAACCGCCAGTAATGAATTATCAATTAATCAATCATGCCATAGAAATAGAGCATCCCTGTGAGTGATATCCTGTGATGCAATCTCGTACATGACCAAGACCGTCGAGTGATAACCTATGATTCATACCCCTCTTTCCTTCCTCATTGATTAATTGATTTATTACGTGCTTGTGATTACTTACCTACTGCGATCATTGCTGCGCTGGGCCATTAGCGTAGAAGAATGGATAAGTGAATAAATCTATTCCCTAATCGGCAATTCCAAAGTTTAAAGCTGACCTCCACTTTAAATTCTAATCTCGATACTCCAATAAGTTTCACTGGCTCTGATGATAATGAGGAATAAACCACACCGAAGTCTCCAAAATTGACGATATATCTACCTGATAGTGAGCTAATTTAAACGAATACCATCTAGCCTGACCTCTGGGATGGGACACGTACCGCACGAGTACCGAATATCTCTATCCTCTTCCCTCAAAGCCTTCGGTTATACCGACTTAGCTAAATTTAATGAGATGGATATTGGATTTGATATGATTCAGCCATAAGTGTCCACAAAGGTAAGATCTTGCTATCTCAAGAAATTAGATGGGAACTCATCTAACTCATTGATTATATTATCCAGCCAACAAAGAAAAGTTCTTCGAATCCCGGCTACAGCAAGAGACGAGAGAATGATACAATAGCAAGATTGAATCAGGTGCATTTGCTTGTACACAGCTGTCCATTCTCCGCTGAGGGATATACTCAAAATCATATACTTCACATGCTTCTAGAATTCAAACAAAATGGACGGAGAAAACACTTAATATGTGTATATATATATACGGCACACAGCACCTCTAAGATTACAAATAATATTACAAATGAAGCCAACTAACTTTTCAACCAACCGACAACAATACTCTCACCCCTCAACCCCACGCTCACAGACACTGCGAGTAGTAAGTATTCGAAAAAGTGCAAGTAGATCCCGCCACGCACGTAGTTGATCCAGAATAGTTGGCACCGCCGCATTGTCCATATTTAGCTACAGCAGTTCCCGTAGATTCAGCAGGTGTCACAGAAGTAGTAGAAGTGGCCCTCGTGGTAGTGGAAGGTGAGGAAGCAACAGTGCTCGTGCTAGAAGAGGACACCAACCTGCAAACCTTCGGAACCGCGGTTCCTGCAGCCGTCAAATAATTTGCCAACGCGTGCCCAGTGCACTTCAACCCATTGACAAACGCCTTCGCAACCACATCCGCTCCCGCAGGGCTGGTGTGTGTGTGGTCATTGGGGAACAATGCCGGGTATACATTATCGTAACCCAAATCCTCATACGCAACCGCCACCCAGCCATAGTGGTCGATCCAAGTAGCGCCCTGGCTCGTATAGTTGCCTGCGGCATACTTCGAGTACGGCACGAACCTGTTCCCCTCACTGACCTCCGTGTGTGCATCGTTCCACGCGTCACCGTTTGGCGTGGTCGAGCTGACAACGGGAATACCACCCGCCGCAAGAACATCCTGCACCATCCACTTCTCGTAGGTGACGAAGGTCTGCACGACCTCAACGGTGCCGTCGGAGAGGGTGACGGTGGTGGTTGAAGTGTCGTCTCCGAAGAGGGAGGCACGGTCAGAGGTTGCTACGCTGCCGCCGTCGTTGTGGCCGAACTCAATGATCACGTAGTCGCCGGGCTCGATCTGGGAGACGAGAGTGTCCCAGAGGCCTTCACGGGTGTAGGAACGTGCGGAACGGCCGCCACGGGCGAGGTTGACGACGGTGAGAGACATGTAGTTTGCGAATGGAGTACCCCATCTAGACGGGCAAGTCAGTCATACAATTCAGGCAATGAGATGGAATAATGGGGGGATATATCGTACCCCTGAATGGTAGTAGAGGACTGTGCCATTGTCGAGTCACCAGCCATGAGAATCTTTGCTGCTGCTGGTGCTGCCGCGATGGCCGCAACAGCGGCGGACATTTTTAGGACGACGGAGGAGACCTTCATTTTCGATATATCGGGATGGGCTTGGAGATGTGCAGATGTGCTGGTTGCAAAGAGAATGCTTAGGACTCTTGTGAGGTGGGTTCAAGGGTTCTTATATAAAAAAAGGATCTTCCCTGGACCCCTGATGTAGAGTAATATTTCTGCTGAGTCGGACTTTTGGCACAATTCATCGCGAGTCTCCCATTCTTCTTCAGCGGAATTTTAGGGCGTCAATCCTACTCTGAATGGCCAGGAACATGTATGGTGCTGGCCACGGTCCGGAAAGTGCAGGAGGATCTTCCGCGACGTTGGTGCTGGCAAGGGTGGGAAAACTGTAAACATTTCTGCATGTGGACGTTTCCCCAATATACACATGTAGGTGCTCAATGTAACTCTATATACCCGACATGGATTCCCCAGGGCTGTACCGGAGGAACTGTGTGGGGCTGAATGCTGCCAGATTAAAGGAACAAGGGGGTTGACAGGCTGCCAGATGTGCACTTAGTTGTTCTATGTAGATGGAAAGGCTTCTCGGACTTCTCCCGGGCTAGTGTTTGGCGGACGAACCCAGCAGAGCAGTCCCAGCGACAAATCAATAAGGTACAATAGACGGCGGTGGTGTAAAGACGCGCACCAAAGACCCCACTCAAATCTATTAGATATTAGTGTCGGTGTTTCAATAGATCATATTTTCGAAGTCAGACAAGACACATCAGATCTATCGTGTCGCCCAATAGTGGAGTGCCTTAGCAAGGAGCCAGTTAATCGTTACTATTAATAGTACGAACCTCTAGAGAACTCGAGCTCTCGTCTTGCCAATGCAACCTTACCCATAATGCCATCCACTATACATGAAAGGCCAAGAACACGCCAGAACCGAGCCATGGTTTCGTCTGTAGCTTGAATCTTCAAGTATATTATCACCCTCCCCGCGATACCACGTTCGGTCGATATTCGAAACAACCGAACCTTCGGCCGGCGGGGTAACTCCTGACGGCTGCAGGGTTAGGGTTGAAACGGTACTGCGGGCCGCCCAAGGAGCCGGAACAACGGAAATGAAGGACCTCGGACGGTCAGTGCCCGACTATAACAACTGTTTCCTGAACTTGTACTTGCTTGGGATATATACGATTTTATATGCATAATACTACTCAGGGATAGCACCCTTACTGGGTAGAGTACAGATCAACTGATTCCGGAACCTGCCTAAAAGAGACCAAGAAATATTATCCTAATAAACCAGAAGTCTTTCCTCGCTAAACTCGCCCCTATAGCCAAAGAGAGAACGTTTTTGGCCTTCGAAGGTTAAAGTGAGCCACCGAAAAGGGATGTCCTCTTGGCTCGCTAGCATGAAGTATCCAAAGCTCAAGTTCCCTGAACATCCTTCCTATCCCGATTGGTTCAACAAGGATTGTCGAAAAGGTGCGCTAGGTCGACTGAAGGCTTGTGAGAGAGTCTATTCCTCCTATACTGTATGCCAGATTCAGTTCCCGGCGCTCTTGGTGGTATTCTTTTAAAAACAACGCCCAGCTCTTTGCATGGGACGGCACTCTCATCCATCAATTCAGGTGGTGCTTCCCAAGTTATTCCAGAGGCTACGGGGGCTCCAAGCTCTACTCCATCGTTATGCGCTAACTCTTCGGCCAACTTCTGCGTCATCATATACTCTTTATATCTATCGTGTGCCTCGTTTCTCATCCAAACGAACGACTTGACCGGTGGAGACATCCTGACATTTGTTGATATCGAGAGAATTGTCTTAATATATTTATCCAATTGCAGTCGTAAATGATCAGGGCAGTCCTCCGATGCTTGAATGGATGAAGAAGCTTCTTCTGGCCTCACTGACCAGAGTGTTGGATAAGGTAACCACGGAATTGACCGGCCAACCTCAGTTGGAAATAAGTTGAGTAGTCCCAGATGGAGTTGGTAAAATTCTTGATAAAGACGGCAGAGGCGTAAATTGGTACTATTCTCCGTAATCACGTTTAGCCAGTAGTAAATTAGTTCGTTGCTGACCGAGAAGGATTCAACACAGGCAGATATTGGTTTTGCCTTTTCATGAATATGTTAGCCTAGAAATGATACTAACACCGGTTCACTTTTTCAAAGGTACTTACGGAAGTTGTATTTTCCTTGCATTTAATTTTTAAGCAAGGCGGACAACTGCTTATAATCCCCCATTTCCGCCAACCTAAAACTAAGCCTCCAGGTCCAAAATCATACCATTGACTATTTGATATCTCTGATGCAAACAACGGCAAACTTAGAAACGATGGATTTGTTATATCTGCCAGGCTCAGTTGTGCGGATGAAGGCCTGTTAAGCTGGCTTGTCGCAGAGCGCAAGGATCCAGATCGATCATTACCCTGGTCCGCCGAGCTTTTATAAACCCCAGAGACCTCCAAATCCGAATCGAAGGCGCATTTCTTACTTGAAAATGATGTGAAAGACCGACGATTTAAATAGCCGGATAATGAAAGATGTGTCGAATATCTTAACTTCCGTATTATCTGGCTTCCCCTTGATATTTTGGTATGTTCATTGTTCAGTGTGCTAATAGAAACTGCCAATGTGCTTGCCGTTGATAATGAAGGGGAAGTTATCTCTTCTGTTCTTTGCATCAACTCTAGTGAAGTCCTCTGGCTCTCCATCAACTTCGAAACAAGGCCAGATAGCATTTGCATGCTTCTTTCGGCCTCTTTAGCCGATTTACTATTTTGGTCGTTAGAAAACTCCAAAGAATGACGAATGACGATTTAGGTAAATTATTTACCAGCCAAGTATACCGAGCATCAACACAATCGACGATTTATGATCCTTCAATCTTTCAAGAAGCAGCTTGATTGTATTCTCTCGCGACATCCATTTCGATCGGTCTAAGGTTTTCAAATCAGGACCAGATCGTAGTCCGTTGACCTCAGCCTCCAGTTCCGAGAACGTACACACACATCCCGTTAGAATAACAACCAAATCTTCAACAAGTATCATTGACTCCTGTGACTTTGTCGCCCGTCTGTCACCAACAAGAAACATTTGAAGGTTACACATAGCTGGGTTGATTAAAGCTATCTCGGCGATTATGTGGCCGACGAGACTCGGGGAATCCTCCAAATCCATAGTCAAGTGACAGAGGGTAGTGGTAATATGAGCGGCTGTTGTCGCCAGCCCGACAATTGAAGCTGAGACTGAAAGCGGATCCATAGGATTAACTGCCCTTTTTTCGCTTGTTTTGCACTTGGGAACAGTTAGAGAAGAAAGGTGTCGAGAAAGATTAATAGGAGAAAAAGCTTTCCTATTATGTATGACTGAGGAACCCGTGCCCCTCAACAAACGGAAGTGGCTCATCGTTCCTGTGTTGCAAGGAGGAGAAAAAGAAACGACGACCCATGGCGCGTATACACGCGTGTCACGAAGATCGAAGCGTAATTTCCCATTTCTTGGGAATGGAAATCTGGTAGTTCATCTGATAGGTATACGCACCTACATGAGACCATTGGTTCATGCTTTCCCGATCGGCGCTTCCGCTATGAGTATTCATCCCCCGCCTTCCTGTGGCATAGTACATGAAGAAGTATTCCGTCCAAGTACTATTGAGTAATGACTTTTCCACATGTGATGCAGGTTTATAGGTCATTCTATTGTGGAAAAGTCGAAATTATATTTTCCAAGAGGTTACTATATACCTATGTAGAGCCGAACGGGACTAGGTAGTCTCCTCGATCATAAATTAGGTGCACCCAGAGATCGATGACTCTTTGGTAATAGGCTAGACCTACATGTATGCTGATCTGTATCATGCTGTAACCGCCAAGGTAATCATTAGCATCCTGTGATATATCGATAGTCTAATCTTATCTAATGAGCCTCCCACGATATCGATGAAGCTAGGTGTTTAAGTTCTTCCACAGGAAGTGGCCATAATCATCGCTTCGTGTACTCGAGAGATATTCAAGGTAACCGAGCGGTTGATATGCTATAAGTTCCACCACCGGGAGAGGTTGTGGTGCTGACGCCTTGCGATGCACTATAGCTAGCTAATCGCAATAGCGGCCTTGCAATCGCTATAAATTCAGTTCTCAGTTCTTCCCGCCCAACTTCCCTAGAACCACTTTAATTACATCAAGCCCCTTGTCCCCGAATTGTAGAATTGGAGCAGCTTTGAACTCAGTTTCCCCGTTCAAATTTCTTTTTGGACGGGAGGGCCGCGCTATGGTTGGGCTGTTCTTTGTAGGGTTAGGGTTTCTTAACTAGTTTTTTTTTCTCCAAACGGTAAACTATCTTTATTTTTTGTAAAGAATAGATTCTTCGTAAGACAAATTCCGGGTTGCATATAATCAATAAATTATCAATCATAAAATAAATCATTTCCCCCTATAGTCCTCGATTTCAGCACCTGCCAAGACAGCCGAACCCGAGTGACACCGCATGACTCACTCGCTACCAACACCTCATCTCGGAAGTCCTTCTTCGAACAGGTCTGTAGATCTTATTGCTATGCTGATCAGGCCTTTTATCTAAGCTGCCTCAGTGCCTGCAGAATCCCAGACACCTCTGAAGCCTTACAAACAGAAGTCTCACTCGCTTATCAACCCAGCCGGCAATCTCCGCCCATTATTACGCTACCATTGCTAATAACCCAGCACCAATGACGTGACTTTGTAAGCAAGCAACAACTCCATGAAGCTAACTCACCTCCGAGCTCAAAGCCTACAGCTCTAAAGATATATCGGCCGAATGAATCCACACGGTATATAAATACAAATGCGCAGCCCACGCCCGTAACAATCTAGAAACCCAAATCACAGCTCTGCAATTAAACAATCACAATGGCCGACCCCGAACTCTACACCTTCCCCTCTCCTCTCGCCGGCTACGAGAACCTACCTCCACTCCCCACGTACGTGCCCTCATCAACCCAGCTACTCACACACATATCATAGCTAACAAGCCCACTCTACCAGAACCATCAATGCCGACGGAAAGTCCTTCTATAACCCTCCGGCCGAAAAGCTAAGCGACGCCTATGAGAAGTTTGCCGCTCCCATCGACAACACCGTCTCCCCCGGCGGCTTCGACGCCCACATCTACTTCTACCAAGTATGCCCACTCCCCCCCCACACCCCTCCTCCCAACCTACTAACCACCACCCTTTAGAACAACCCCGCGCAAGTCACCTATGCCACCGAGCTCTGGACGCGCATTCGGCGCGAATGTACGTCTCTCCTCCACCTCCTCTCCCCACAAACACTCCATACTAACCGCCATCTCCCAGTCCCCGAACTTCGCATCTACAAGATCTGGGACAAGCCCATCGGACCACACACACTCGCCATGTTCGAAGTCAACATCTTTACCCCCGCGCAATTCGGCGCGTTCGTGCCCTGGCTCGTGATCCACCGGGGGCCTCTATCGGTGCTACTGCACCCCAACACGAACAACCCGCTGCGCGACCATACGCAACGTGCGACGTGGCTGGGGCGGGAGGTGCCAATCGATACGGCGCTGTTTCGGAGGATGCTGGAGGAGAAGGGGAAGGAGTATCCGTCGAGGGAGTAGCACGGTTTGTGGGGGTAGGGGAGGCTGGAGGTTGTATTATTGTTGTTAATAGGTAGCTGGAATTGAATTCAAGTTATTTCTGGATTATTTGGGTATCTCCGAGATTGCTGGTTGCTTGGGCGGGCCATTATTATCATTAGCTGTACAGCTATCCGAATCGAGCCATCTCTGATATTTAGTGGCCAGGGTTAGGGTTGTGCCTATATGGAGTTGCCACAAAATATCACCGCAGCTATTCCCTGGATGTATGAGACATTGGTAAAATCTCTCTCATGCATTAGCGTGGCCTATCCAGGAAATGATTGACTGAGGTAAGGCAGCGAACTGCGAACTTTATGGCACCGTTAAGTATTCCAAAGACCGACAAAGGCAGCAAGCTGCTTACCTGGACGTTTTCTCACCCAAATTCAAGGTCACATGACGTTCATGCATGAGAGAGATTTTACCAATGTCTCATACATCCAGGGGATAATATGCACTTAGAATATACATGGGTGCGGTCCGTGGGTACATGTATGGGGTGCTTCCGAATTCAGAATAAATTGCTTTTTACGTGTGGGGTAAGAAGGATATATATATGCTAGTGCTTGCCGGTTTGGGGGCAATGAGATAAAGCTCAAGTAGAGGATTGAAGACTGAAGTGAAACTGGTTTTATCAGAGATAGGAGGGAATAGATAAATTCTAAAACTACAAGAAGAGACCATAGCTAGAACTCATGTATCCAGCCTGTTCATATGGCGCGTTATGTGGTATGACTTAAAAAAAGTATGACGATCATTTTAACAGGACTCACCGTATTCATTTCCTCCTTCTCTTCTATATCATGTTCACTGTATCCTCATTTTCCCTATTCGTCGTACTCGCTATCTATCTCTTCCTCCTCCTTCTCCCCTCCTTCTCTTATTCGCCCTATTATGTCTCCTCTTCAGCATAACTATGTTGACTATATGCTTCATTCCCCTCTCCCTCTCCATCAGAGTCGTATTCACCGGATCCTTCCACTTCTTTCTCTCCCTCATCCCTTCCCTCTTCCTCTCCCTCCTCCTCTCCCTCCTCCTCATCGTTCCCTTCATCTTCCTCTTCATCGTCTTCGGCGTCTTTGTTACCCTCTGCTTCAAATTCCATTTCCCCACCACCCTCGTCGTCCCTGCCGTCTCCGTCGATCGTGTATCTCATGTAATTCATATACCCGGAAGATTCCAGAAATTCTTCACGTGTGCAACGGTCCTGATGTGCGCAATGCATCTGATATTCGGATATTACTCGATATTGGGAACAAGTCTGAGGGTCTGGGGAGTTGGGCGGATCCTCATCCTCATCGCCATCGTCGCTGTCGCTGTCGCTGTCGCTATCGCTATCTTTAGATACTTCTTCCACATATTCCCCATCGCCATCACCATCATCATCATGTGGTTCTTGCTCCTCTTCCGCCTGAATTTCCCCTTCTAAATCCTCTAGTTCGTTTTCGAATTCCTCATCATAATTCTCTTCCTCTTCCTCGTGTTCATCTTCTACGTCGTATGAACCTTGACTTTGCTCGTTGTGCCGTGTACTTCTATTCAGCTGGAGGCTTGTCTCACTTGATCGCTTTGTGCTGTTCTTAGCTACTTTCTTTCTCTTTTCGGATCCGTCGAATGGCTTTGGTATGTTGCCTTGAGTTACTGGCTCTCCTTCGATAGGGTTATTAAGTTGTCCCAGCATAAACATGGGATTCATGTTGGGTTGAGTTGAGATGTTCATGCTTTGTTTCTGGTGTTGAGGTTATGAGGTGTTGAGTAGTTAATTCAGATATATTAGGGGACATATATAGTGAAAAGTTTGTGCTTAAGGAACACAAAGTGGAGAGTATAAGGTGCTGAAAGAATATCTCTAGAACGATCTCAAAGATTATGATACAACGCCCTGGTCTGGAAAACGGAACAAGGCTAGAAGAAAGCAGAGGATTCAAACTTTTAGTTCTCCAATACACATATCTTGGCGCTTGTAGTACATAGAAATTTAATTCTCCATGGAACTACATGTTTCCGGATGGTTTCTGACGTTTTCAAATAAGTTGCTATTACAGGGCACGCAAAATCATTGACTTGGCGCGTTTTCATAGGAGAGTAATCTTCAAAAAGGTCAACGGTCAGGACTTACGAATGTACTAGATATCGATCCCCGCCGAACTTAGAGTATAATAAGATATCGATGAGGAAATGTGTTCTTAAGAGAAGGTTTCTTTTGCTTATTGTGTTACGGAATAACATTTGTAGATGTTTGTGCACGCATACACCCAGTGTGGCCGCAATCTGCATAACTGCATGTAATCCTTACGCTGTCGAGAAATGCATATGGCTGGCCCTTTGTTATGGGGACTTTTGTACGTATTATTCGTACTGTTATTGTTTTAAGAAGTGGGTGAGCCCGTGGTCCAATATACATGAGATCCAGAGAGCCCTCTTCCTTTCCACTAGCTTCTAACGGCGCCTGTGCTTATAACACACACCAACGTTAACAGGGGCCACAAGCAGCTACAGTCAATCTAAGTGGATTATTGGTGAGAGATTTATTCAGATCCAATAGATGTTTGATAAAGAAGTTAAGGAATCTTTTAAGAAAGCCATACTTTTGGTCCCCATAAAAATGTTCGCATTCTTATACTTTACCTAGAACATTCTTATCTGCAAATACCCGCGGTGATAATTTCACGATATGAGAGGGTGCTGAGACTTCGTTAGGTTAGTAGTGATACCGTGCCAAACTCTGTAAAGCCTGGGCACGAGACAGCCCTTGAATAATTTAAATATGATCGATATTCTGGCACAAGGCTGATCAGTACTAATATGGTACGGTATTTTTAGGATTTTCTTAACCTACTAGTAGCTATTCGGCGGTTGCTAAATATCTAGGTCGATACTCATTTTTCTAGATGCAAAGAATAACGGCGTTCAAACAGCGTTACTATCTGGTTCGGTCGACGTCACTAATTACGATGTGGACTGAATTCTCAAGGATAGTTAATACCAAACTACAAGATCCCAGGTTCCTTTGATATGATTTCAATCAGCCCAAGATCTCCTGTTCGTCAACCGGCAGTAATCGTGCAGCCAACGACTATCAATCACTGAAAACTGTCAAGATTTGGTGGCATTTTAGAACGTTTGGTTAACGCGCGAGTAAAGTGCATGTGTTAAATTGATTGATGGTTATTTAGGCGACCAGTATTGCTTGTATTTTCACTTTTAGTACGGTATGTGCATAGAATGTGTGACTATAGGTGCTCTAAATGAGAAGTTTGTAGTACTACTCTGGCCGCGCGAGCCGAACAGCTAGCAAACTGTTAGTATCAGGCACTTGGCAATAAATCAGGGTTAGGGGTATTGGCATATATAGCCAACCAGAAACGCAGGGCGGAGCGTTTCGTCCTTGCTCCAACTTCTGCGGCCAAATTTGAAAGACTATAATAATGAAATTTTTGACTTCATAATAAAAAGGGAATATTCGTACCTGCACATTGTATACCGGGCGAACAATATCCGCGACGCAACGTGTTTCGATACCCGCCATGGGTTATGCAAGTTCTGTAGGTACAGAACAAATGAGCCCCAAGGTGTCTATATAAATATAGCCCATTGGTTGTGTAGGCACCAAATAGTTGTCATGGTGTGGAGGCCGTGCAGCTGCAGGGGCTTCATTCTTGAGTACTCTAAAGCATCAAGTGGCCGGTCATGCAGCGGTACGTACATGTAGTACAACCACACATGAATAAAGTATATATCTCACTGGTCCAGACGATGCTTCGATGTGTGTTTGTGGTACTCAAAAGCTGCAAGAAACAATATACAATTTTTTTACTGGATGATTGCCAGACATCGAGGGAGGCTTAGTCTTTCTCTCAGGCCATTCGATTCCACGAGTGAGTCAAAAGAAAATGCGAATGCGTATTTAACCAAGTATTTCCCTCTCTCAAAGTAGCCCTTTTAAAAAAGGTCCACCACGGGCCGCGCTTGAATCAAGTCTCGCGAGCCATATATCATTAGAGTATCTGAAACCTTTTGATTATTGGTATAGTCAGTGAGTTGAGATCTAAGATGTTATTCGGTCTTGAGATGAGGGGAGGGCTAGATGATGGTAGAGCTCAATGATAGGGGTAGGTATTACATGGATTCAGGCATGTTGCCGTAGTGAAAGAGATGTGGTAAAGATTTCTGATAGGTGAAATAATTTCAAAATGGATCGGGAGTACCAAACCGGAGCCCTTCATCCACCTGTAATAATCATATAAACAAATTGTTTAACTACCTGTGCGTATTACCCCCTCCTCGACGCACCTTGTGCGTAGTATTTCGTCCATTACTGTGCGCACTCTGGCGAAACCTAGGCTCCCCAAAACCCTGTATATATTGCACGATATATGCATGTGTGGAGAGCGTAGATGCTGAGACAAAGTAATGCCTTCAACATAACTAGGAACTCGAACATATGAGAATTGCGTGAATAAAATTCGATTGCCAGATCGATCTTGATTATTGTGGGCCCAGCCCCCTGCCTAAGTATTCTCGACCTATGGACTACTGTTGATAGACAGGGGTTCGGGCCAATGAAAAAGATGTATTTCTCTTTTTGGCATTATCCGTTACTGTATTTGGGTCCTATCCCTGTTTGCGGGGTAGCAATGATCAAAAACTAATCTTGGGCGATGAGGTGATGAGATCTGAAGATTATTATCCAAACCACACTTTCTAGCCCCTGCGAAGAGGCAGGTCAGCACACATGATAGTTACACTCAGGAAGTTGACCAAACAGATTCCATGGATCCATGCCAAGTCTCCCATCTGATCTGTAACGCCTCAGTTTCCGATCCACACAAGGCTTCGGCCGTGGGTTTCTCTTGCTGCATAAAATTAATAGACACTTAGGTAGACTGTAGTACCTGAGAGAAGGATAAAGACTCACACTCGGTTCATCCCCGCAAGGCTTACATATATGGTGACCTATATCTAGACGACCAAACCTCTCCACAAGCACCCACACTATCATGATCTTTCTCCCGGTGTTTCTTCCGCCTACTTGGAAAACGCAGATCCGCTCAGGCCCGTTAGCGCTCTCATCTCGGATCCCTCCTCCCCCGACTTCCTCGTCTGTTCCTGAATGGGGTCTTTAAATGCAGTTGGGATCCATGATGATGTCTCTCGGCTGTGCGAGCTGGTCAGAGGTAATTGATAGAGGCTGATATGTCTCCTGTCGGCTGCGTTAAATCCCGGATCCCACCCCCATCTCCCATTGCTCGGCTTTCTAGCTCAACGGCCTTATGACGAGGAGGTATGGGTAAAAAATCCATTAATTATAGTTCAAGAGAGATAGCGACAAATCAGATTGGCGGAGGTGGGGGTATTTTACGGACGGTATTACTAGTGGGCTCGTGAGGAACGAGAAAGCTGCGGGATTTTAAATGGGTGCGCACCGAAGCCATGACGGCGGGTGTGGCAAAGAGGACGGTAGTGAGAAGAGGATACAGAAGGGCGTGGTTTACCTTTATATTGCCATACGGGTAATTAGGATTGAAGGTAAGATGATTGTGGATCGGAAGAGTTTATGGGTGGATTTTAACGAGACTACATCCATGTAGATGACCGGGAACGACCTCTATTGGCTGGTTACATGCGCGTGAACTGGTCCCGACAGTGTGGTGCCGAAAAATGAAAGCAAATCATAAACAATCACTCAGTCTTCCGACCCGGTACTCATACATGTCCTTATCCCGGACTGAGCACGCTACAATGTGTTACCTAGCCGTTTCTGGACGAGCGACTTTATGTACGTTTAACACTTTCATATTCCATAGATCGTGAGTGTACACAATCGGCTCACATGGATTATCCTAGCTACAAAAACCTATCGGACAAGAGAGATACAATAATTCGAATTCGACATCATCACAGTCCATTGAAATCAGCCATAGACTTGTAATTGCTGATTGTTGGGATTCAATGTCTCAGACGATGTATATTGTGGGAATGTTTCTCGAGATCTCGCTGCTGGTGCTCTCGCGCATGTTTGGCACCATCACACTCATCTCGAGTAAAACCAAACAACAGTTTATGATACAAACTCCATCCATTGAGATTACCCCTTCGATCAACGGCCGGCAATTGCGCGGAGATTATCAAGGCAGAAACTACCACCTGAGTAAGTACACATCCTCTCCGTTGTTACTATAGAGTGGGTGGTTTTGATATTAGTGATCTCCTATTAAGTTAGTCGAGATATGATGAGCATCTACTCTCACGCTTATATGCGCAGGAACAAAATGCGCAGTTACTGACCCCTGCGCTCTGTGTGTACAACATTCATACTTCAGAGGACCATGCTTAAGATCCACCCAACATCAACACGTCAGTAGAGCATGTACATCATATCTCGACACTCATAAATGTCCGAAGCTTGCACTTTTCTGCACTGCGAAAGTGTCTTCAAAGCTCTAGCTCAGTCAGTGTGGCTTGTTTTGTACACACCAGTATGCATAGTGGCCTGCGCACCTCCTTATCCAATCACCTCCTAGCCGAGCCTCAAACACTACTCTAATCGGTTTAGAAAGAAATAAGCGAATCTCGCATCGACGGTGCACCTTGGGCTACAACTATGATTTATGGAAGATTTTGGGTCATGATTGCTTTTTCTTGCATTGCTGGCACGTTGAATCTACTTCGTATGGTTGACCCTGCAGAATATAAACCCAATTGAGCTGAGGCTGTGCA